CTAACTAACACTACAGTATTGATGTAGTGTTTACTGGAGCTTTTGTAAGACTGTTCACCGCCCCTTAGGTAAATTATCCATGATTTTGTTATCGATTACTGTTTGCATTACCATAGTTTTCCGACAAATATAATTAAATGGTGGATAACATATATTATCAACAAAAAAATTACAAAAAAAACATACTACTCTGAAATATCCGTGCTTGAAATTCCGTTCTGCACGATCCTCTTGTTCGTTAACATTGTCAGGGTCTGAATCAGGCTCGAAATGGTCTGAAATTATGAAAATTTACATCTGAGTAGAGCTCGCGGTTATGAAGGGGCGAGACAGTTCCCGAACACACGCCAATCACAACACACTGGGTCAGCTAACCAATCACAACACACTAGGTCAGCTAACCAATCACAACACACTAGGTCAGCTAACCAATCACAACACACTGGGTCAGCTAACCAATCACAATACACTGGGTCAGCTAACCAATCACAGCACACTGGGTCAGCTAACCAATCACAATACACTGGGTCAGCTAACCAATCACAGCACACTGGGTCAGCTAACCAATCACAGCACACTGGGTCAGCTAACCAATCACAGCACACTGGGTCAGCTAACCAATCACAACACACTGGGTCAGCTAACCAATCACAATACACTGGGTCAGCTAACCAATCACAGCACACTGGGTCAGCTAACCAATCACAGCACACTAGGTCAGCTAACCAATCACAGCACACTGGGTCAGCTAACCAATGACAATACACTGGGTCAGCTAACCAATCACAGCACACTGGGTCAGCTAACCAATCACAGCACACTGGGTCAGCTAACCAATCACAGCACACTGGGTCAGCTAACCAATCACAGCACACTGGGTCAGCTAACCAATCACAGCACACTGGGTCAGCTAACCAATCACAACACACTGGGTCAGCTAACCAATCACAACACACTGGGTCAGCTAACCAATCACAGCACACTGGGTCAGCTAACCAATCACAGCACACTGGGTCAGCTAACCAATCACAACACACTGGGTCAGCTAACCAATCACAACACACTGGGTCAGCTAACCAATCACAGCACACTGGGTCAGCTAACCAATCACAGCACACTGGGTCAGCTAATCAATCACAGCACACTGGGTCAGCTAACCAATCACAGCACACTGGGTCAGCTAACCAATCACAGCACACTGGGTCAGCTAACCAATCACAACACACTGGGTCAGCTAACCAATCACAATACACTGGGTCAGCTAACCAATCACAGCACACTGGGTCAGCTAACCAATCACAGCACACTGGGTCAGCTAACCAATCACAGCACACTGGGTCAGCTAACCAATCACAGCACACTGGGTCAGCTAACCAATCACAGCACACTGGGTCAGCTAACCAATCACAGCACACTGGGTCAGCTAACCAATCACAATACACTGGGTCAGCTAACCAATCACAATACACTGGGTCAGCTAACCAATCACAGCACACTGGGTCAGCTAACCAATCACAGCACACTGGGTCAGCTAACCAATCACAACACACTGGGTCAGCTAACCAATCACAACACACTGGGTCAGCTAACCAATCACAGCACACTGGGTCAGCTAACCAATCACAGCACACTGGGTCAGCTAACCAATCACAACACACTGGGTCAGCTAACCAATCACAACACACTGGGTCAGCTAACCAATCACAGCACACTGGGTCAGCTAACCAATCACAGCACACTGGGTCAGCTAATCAATCACAGCACACTGGGTCAGCTAACCAATCACAGCACACTGGGTCAGCTAACCAATCACAGCACACTGGGTCAGCTAACCAATCACAACACACTGGGTCAGCTAACCAATCACAATACACTGGGTCAGCTAACCAATCACAGCACACTGGGTCAGCTAACCAATCACAGCACACTGGGTCAGCTAACCAATCACAGCACACTGGGTCAGCTAACCAATCACAGCACACTGGGTCAGCTAACCAATCACAGCACACTGGGTCAGCTAACCAATCACAGCACACTGGGTCAGCTAACCAATCACAGCACACTGGGTCAGCTAACCAATCACAACACACTGGGTCAGCTAACCAATCACAGCACACTGGGTCAGCTAACCAATCACAGCACACTGGGTCAGCTAACCAATCACAGCACACTGGGCCAGCTAACCAATCACAGCACACTGGGTCAGCTAACCAATCACAATACACTGGGTCAGCTAACCAATCACAATACACTGGGTCAGCTAACCAATCACAGCACACTGGGTCAGCTAACCAATCACAGCACACTGGGTCAGCTAACCAATCACAACACACTGGGTCAGCTAACCAATCACAATACACTGGGTCAGCTAACCAATCACAGCACACTGGGTCAGCTAACCAATCACAGCACACTGGGTCAGCTAACCAATCACAACACACTGGGTCAGCTAACCAATCACAGCACACTGGGTCAGCTAACCAATCACAATACACTGGGTCAGCTAACCAATCACAGCACACTGGGTCAGCTAACCAATCACAACACACTGGGTCAGCTAACCAATCACAATACACTGGGTCAGCTAACCAATCACAGCACACTGGGTCAGCTAACCAATCACAGCACACTGGGTCAGCTAACCAATCACAGCACATTTCATATTTCAGAAGGAGGGGCTTTATCGAAAATGACGCAGACTGGGGAGAGAAGAGCTGTAATAATGTAAATTATGTAGCTAAAAACTAATGTGTTTTTTGAACAATCAAGCAAGAAAACATATTCTAGTACACCCCAAGAACAAAATCCCTTCGTAAAAGGGCATAAAAGGCCCTTTAATCATTCAGAAAAGATGGATTTGGCCAACTGAGATTTCAGTATGAAGATAAAGGTTAGGATCATGAAGTTTTGCTTTTGCGATCTGTTAGATCGTTTGAACCTGGAAAAAGTGACGCATGACGCCAGACTTAACAACAGTGTTATATTGTTTAAAACCAGCTAAATAAAACGTTCACAGTAGTAGGTTAAGTGCAGAGGTCCTGCAGAGTTTGGCTCCAGATCGCCTCAACACACCTGTCTGGAAGTGTTAAGACATTGATTAGCTGGTTCAGGAGTGTTTAATTAGGGTTGGAGCTGAACTCTGCAGGAGCAGGATTGGACACCCCTGGGTCAAACAACAATGGGCCCAGGACTGAGCCTTGGGGGACACCGCGAGATGTCACATGATGCCTGAAAGCTGTGTATCCTCCATACATAGCTGTCATTGTTGGGCCGAAATTACAGAAATACAACACAACAAAATGTTCTTATCTATGTGTTTAATCTTGCCTGGAGCAGAACCTATTCTAGAAAAAATAATGAAATTCAAACATGACATACACACCCACAACATTACAAAATGTTTTTCTTATAATGTGTAAACTAGACATATTTGATGACTAAGTCAATCATTTCTAATAAACATAGTGGCATCATAGTACATAACACCTATTAGTTTTTCCACAAATGATTAACAGGTTATAGGCTATATCTTTAGTGAGGTTGGACTGGACCTAAGTTTCAAAGGTAAACTCTAATTTGTTGAGAGTTAAGAATTTGAAAAGAGGGTTTTAATTTAAATTTTAAATTGTAACTGGATGTGTGCACCTGATAAACGGGCGTGGAAGTAAACTAAACTGGTTGGTTGAGATAAGTTTGTGTAAGATCTTTGCTGTGTTGCAAAATGCTAGAATGTTATGTTAAAAATTCATATTGCACATGGTAACACACAGTATTGCTTACATACTATGTTGCAATTAAGTTTGGTTTTAATACCTAGTTTTAAATGCTGACATAAGCAACAAAATTATGACTCATTTTTAATCTATGAGATTCAACATCTGTTCTAACTTTCCCACACTAATGTTAAATTAATGCAACATGACATTATGAGTGGTCATTTGCACTTGTCAACCAGGCTAATGGACAATTAATGTTTTTTTTTGTACCACAGACTGTGCACTTCACTTTTTTTCAAAGACAAGAAGCAGACAAAAAACAAACTGACGAACCTCTCAGTCACAGAGGAGTGTAAAGGGTGTGTGAAACTGGGTGTGTTGCTCTCCTGTGGAAAACACACACACAGGCGAAAGTCCTCCGCAGATTGACTGACTGTGTGTGTGTGTGTGTGTGTGTGTGTGTTTGAGTCAGACAGGGCGTGCTTCTTCTGCATCCCTGCGATCATGTCATTTTCTCTTTTCTTTTCAACTTAATTTTCAACTAATGTAAGATGCGCATGCTCACCATTTCACCGATTCTGTAATCATATGGGATATTTTGGATATAATGTGTATAGTGCTGCTGTGTTATATGTTTATAGCCTTGCAAAACAAATCAATTCATGAATAATTAATTAAAAGGCAACGCTTTACAACAAGGTTCATTAGTTTACATTATGTAATGTATTAATTAACATGAACTAACAATGAGCAATACATTTGTTAAAGTATTTATTCATTAGAAATCACAGTGCATTAACTAATGTAAAATCCACCATTTTAATAATGTATTAGTAAATGTTAAAAGTAATATTAACTAAGATGAAAAAATGCTGTAGAAGTATTGTCCATTCTTAGTTCATGTTAACTAATGTATGAACCTTATTGTAAAGCGTTACCAAATAAAAAATAAATAATAAAAGCTGAGGGGAAAATGCAGTAGTACAGTACATCTTCAGCTTTTAACAGAAAGTTATTTTAAAAACAATGTTTTTAAAAGCAATACTTGTTAACAAAGTTGGCTAAAGTTCAAGAATTTGTTTTAAAGAAAAAAAAACACGACTATTTAATTGGAGTGTATCAGAGAATTCCGTGGGAAAGTGGGGGGGATTTTTCGGGAACACCTCAGCATGTATAAGCCGCGCCTCATGGGAACACGGGTGTGTGTGTGTGTGTGTGTGTGTGTGTGCAGGTGTGGTCTAAAGGAAAACCGGAACTATCGAGCGCGCAGCGTCCATTACCGCCGCAGTCACCGCCGCGCAGAGACGCGCACGAGCACGAGCAGGAGAGGACGAGGACGGTATCACTCTCACTGCGCTTTCTTTCGCTGACCCGCTGCTTCAACTTCTGCAGAGATGAGTTTGTCCGGATCCCAGACCCGGCTCCAACAGATGAGCCGCAGGTCCACCTCCAGGCCCGACCTCACCGCCATGGGCTACAGTTTACCGCGGGGCGACGGAGTCTTCATGAGTGGAAACGGATACCAGTCCGAGTTCAACGACGGCGGATACGCGCAGCAGACCTTCACACACTCCTTCTCCAAGAGCTCCCAGGGAGGAGGAGGAGGAGGAGGAGGAGGAGGAGGAGGAGGAGGGGGGACACTGGGGTGAGCTTCCATTCATGCGCTATCAAGTTACGTGTTAAATATTAACAAAGTCTGCACTAAAAAGTGGAAGTATGATGACCTCAAGTATTTCTTCCATGATCAGAGATATTCAAGTTCATTGTGTAGCTCTGCTTTTACTGTGTCAGCTATTGTTCATTTTAAAGGAAATTATGGTGACACATCTGAGAAGAGGTGGATACTTAAGAGTCCAGATGCAGTATATGAAAGAGTAACATTTTTTTAGCAATAACTTTTGCATCGTGCATGTTATTGTGTTATGTCGCGAGACAGGAAACGGTCCAGCACTGACTGGCATGTGTCAATCAATCATAGTGTCAGTCTCCTGTAACGTGTAGGAGTGCGCGAGACACACACTAACGCGGGGATAGTTGGCACACACACACACACACACACACACACACACATCTTTTAAAAGTTTCCACACATGCCAGCATTACGAAACTGAGTGTATTTACTGGTTGCCATATCAACACTATATAGAGAAAAACTTCAAAAATTAAAAAATATTTGGAAGATTGAACATTTATTTAACCATAGCAAAAGTCATTTTATTAATTATTATTATTATGTTTTGAACTATGCTGTATAGCTGTTTTTTTTTGCGGTGTGTTTGTTGTCAAACTCAAAAATGAGTTTATTTTGAATTATTAATAAATGCTATTATTTTATATGAAAAAGTTAATAATTGCATTTTATTGACAAAATATTTTAGTTTGCCTTATATATTTTTTGATTAGATCAGAGAGCATTTGAATCTGTCATATGGTCATGTTACAATGTGCCTCACCTATGGGGCATGTTGTCACACGTGTATCAAGCAAAAAGTATACAGTGTATTAATGAAACAAAACCACATAATTGAACGAAACGTGTGAAATTAATGTGGGAGAAAATTAATTCTCTGAACCTTAAGTGGATTTACACAAGCTGAGAAAGTAAAAGTGTTAGGTTGTGCCCCGCTACTTTAACAGACCGTAGGATAACACTCTATTTCAAGGTGACGTAGTTACACGATACTACATGTACTTACTATAGTAATAACAGTAAATTATACATGATTAAAAGTAACTAAACCAAACCGTAACTCTATAGTAGGTACATGTAGTTAATTAATATTACTCAGTTCTTATTTGAATAATTACAATGTAACTACGTCACCTTAAAGGTGCTCTATGTAGCTTTTCTTCTAAAATGAATCCTTTTTTTATTGCCTGTGTGTGAAGGGGTTGTAATCACACATTACAATGATCCACTTGTCGGGTTTTGCTTCAGCAGATAAAACAAAAAAAAGTTGTATCTGCTGAAGCTCGTCAGGCCAAACGTGATTCTGATCGACTCAGGACGAAAACACGGATCAACATCGGCAGAGCTTTTGAATTATTAGTAAACTCTAATGAAATAGCAAGGTAAACTACATGAGACATGAAATGAATACAAAAGACTGTTCCAGGATAAGAAAAAGGAGGTGCTTTAGGATGTATACTTGTTTTATGTACTAGATCTACTGTCTAATGTCACTCATCCCACTATCATATTGTTTATAATGCACATTTCCAGACACGTTCAGTACAGTAATGGTACTTCCTACTGCCTTACTGTTACACTGACATTGTTCAGTCTAGTTCACCGTTTTCGTTATCATATTATACATTCACCTATGTTGACATTGCTGATTGTGAAAGACACGAATAGTTAGTGAAATGCCTTATGCTAGATAACACCACAAATGTAACGTTATCATGGTACGAGCATGGAGCATTAGTTCAACGCCAAGCTGATAAAGTATCCTATTACTGTAGCGTTGCAGTGGGAGTTTACATGAGTTTCCAGCATGTCTCCGGTGTGTTGAAATCCCCGTGTGGCCGGTAGTGAATGCTCGCTCCTGAGATCGCACACACACACACACACACACACACACACACACACACACACACACACACACACACACACACACACACACACACACACACACACACACACACACACACACACACACACACACACACACGAGCACGAGCGCTCTTGTTGCAATCTGAAACATCACCACTAGAGGCCGCTAAAAGTTCAATAGAGCACCTTTAAAGGTGCCCTAGAATGTATTTTTTTATTATTTTATAATGTTTCCTGGGTTACCCTTATAATGTTAGTATGTTTTTTAGATAAAAAATAATCATAATTTAGAAATAAATAGCATTTTTCCTAGCCTGCTTTTAGCCTCTGATTTGAACACTCTGTTTGAAGGGGCGTGTCTGCTGTGGGATTCAGTGTAACCGCCCACTGCTGTGATTGGCTGTGGGATTCAGTGTAACCGCGGCCACTGCTGTGATTGGCTGACATGCTTGCATATGAAATAGCTACGCATTACATGTGAAACTCTCTCCCGAATACTTTTACTACTGCTATTATACGTTTTTACTATAACAGCTATCGAGATTAACGAATTGTGAGAAGTTTTTAAAGTATTTAGATCTATTCCCATCACATAAAATGTTGCCGTGATGAGCATTGAGCAGATGACAGTGTGTTGATCGCGAGAATGAAGATCTTATCAGTGCAAAGCAGTTTCTGCACTCTCTAATGCTTTCACCAATGCAAACACGATGATGTAAATACAGTAAGAGCTTCGTTGTGCAGTAACGTGCGTCATTGATTTCATAACGAGTTTGGCAAGTGTCCAGATAAACTCGCGCTGTGGAAAGATTGTTCTTTGATCGCTTTCTGTATATAATTTATTCACAATTTAAATAAGTTTTTTTTCATCCTACTAAAAGAAACGATGTGAAGCTGATATTTTAGTCACTGGCTTGACTTACTGATGCATAAACAGTATTGAACGATTTTGAGAGAAAGATTACCTGTCTGAACTTGAACAATTACACATCAGAAAGTGTTGCTTGGTAGCTCGATCCGAGGCCAGCTCTGTATTGGCCCAAGTTGAGGAAACACTCGGTGAAATGTTTGGAAATTTCCAGAGAAAAAATACTTTTGTGTTCATGTGTACATCCACACTGAGCAACTGCCATGCTTCGGCTGCGCAGTTCCGCCTGGCATTGAGGGCTGGCATTATGCAAATATTTGGAGGCGTACATATTAATGATCCCGACTATTGCGTCACAGTCGGTATTGTGTGGAGAACCGACCGTTTTTCAGGGGTGTTTTTCATAAACGTGAATTAAATGAGAACGCTAAAACAGTCCAGTTTGAGATTCACTCTATGTCATGTCCATGCACTGAACTCTTGTTATTTGACTATACCAAGGTAAATTCAATTTTGAATTATATGTCACCTTTAAAAAAGGGGTACCGTAACATGCATTTACCGTCCGTAAAAAGGCGAAGATTGCGATGAGACAGGAAAAAGGTCTGTAAAGAATGGCGTTACACTTTATTTGAAGGTGTCATAGTTACAGTGTAATTAAGTGCTGAGTAATATTAATGAACTACATGTACTTGCTATAGGGTTAGGGCAGGATTAGGGTTTGGTTGAGGGTTAGTTGCATGTAATTATGCTGTTATTACTATGGTAAGTACATGTGTAACAAGGACACTGTAAGATAAAGTGTTGCCAGAATGGCTCGTTTGTTCCCGTTTGAGAAATTGTTCTGATCTGTTTTGATGGAAGATGGAAATGATAAATCTATCCAACAGAACATGAAATCTTTAGGTTTTCTTTAAAATACCTTAAATAAGTGTAGTGATCTACTTCTCAAGAACACGTGTGTGTTTATCTGATGCGTAGTGTGTGTCTCAGGAACACGTGTGTGTTTATCTGATGTGTAGTGTGTGTCTCAGGAACACGTGTGTGTTTATCTGATGTGTAGTGTGTGTCTCGAGAACACGTGTGTGTTCATCTGATGTGTAGTGTGTGTCTCAGGAACACGTGTGTGTTTATCTGATGTGTAGTGTGTGTCTCGAGAACACGTGTGTGTTCATCTGATGTGTAGTGTGTGTCTCAGGAACACGTGTGTGTTTATCTGATGCGTAGTGTGTGTCTCAGGAACACGTGTGTGTTTATCTGATGTGTAGTGTGTGTCTCAGGAACACGTGTGTGTTTATCTGATGCGTAGTGTGTGTCTCGAGAACACGTGTGTGTTTATCTGATGTGTAGTGTGTGTCTCAGGAACACGTGTGTGTTTATCTGATGTGTAGTGTGTGTCTCAGGAACACGTGTGTGTTTATCTGATGTGTAGTGTGTGTCTCAGGAACACGTGTGTGTTTATCTGATGTGTAGTGTGTGTCTCAGGAACACGTGTGTGTTTATCTGATGTGTAGTGTGTGTCTCGAGAACACGTGTGTGTTTATCTGATGTGTAGTGTGTGTCTCAGGAACACGTGTGTGTTTGATGTGTAGTGTGTGTCTCAGGAACACGTGTGTGTTTATCTGATGTGTAGTGTGTGTCTCAGGAACACGTGTGTGTTTATCTGATGCGTAGTGTGTGTCTCGAGAACACGTGTGTGTTTATCTGATGTGTAGTGTGTGTCTCAGGAACACGTGTGTGTTTATCTGATGTGTAGTGTGTGTCTCAGGAACACGTGTGTGTTTATCTGATGTGTAGTGTGTGTCTCAGGAACACGTGTGTGTTTATCTGATGTGTAGTGTGTGTCTCAGGAACACGTGTGTGTTTATCTGATGTGTAGTGTGTGTCTCAGGAACACGTGTGTGTTTATCTGATGCGTAGTGTGTGTCTCAGGAACACGTGTGTGTTTATCTGATGTGTAGTGTGTGTCTCAGGAACACGTGTGTGTTTATCTGATGTGTAGTGTGTGTCTCAGGAACACGTGTGTGTTTATCTGATGTGTAGTGTGTGTCTCAGGAACACGTGTGTGTTTATCTGATGTGTAGTGTGTGTCTCAGGAACACGTGTGTGTTTGATGCGTAGTGTGTGTCTCAGGAACACGTGTGTGTTTATCTGATGTGTAGTGTGTGTCTCAGGAACACGTGTGTGTTTGATGTGTAGTGTGTGTCTCAGGAACACGTGTGTGTTTGATGTGTAGTGTGTGTCTCAGGAACACGTGTGTGTTTATCTGATGTGTAGTGTGTGTCTCAGGAACACGTGTGTGTTTATCTGATGCGTAGTGTGTGTCTCAGGAACACGTGTGTGTTTATCTGATGTGTAGTGTGTGTCTCAGGAACACGTGTGTGTTCATCTGATGTGTAGTGTGTGTCTCAGGAACACGTGTGTGTTTATCTGATGTGTAGTGTGTGTCTCAGGAACACGTGTGTGTTTATCTGATGTGTAGTGTGTGTCTCAGGAACACGTGTGTGTTTATCTGATGCGTAGTGTGTGTCTCAGGAACACGTGTGTGTTTATCTGATGTGTAGTGTGTGTCTCAGGAACACGTGTGTGTTTATCTGATGTGTAGTGTGTGTCTCAGGAACACGTGTGTGTTTATCTGATGTGTAGTGTGTGTCTCAGGAACACGTGTGTGTTTATCTGATGTGTAGTGTGTGTCTCAGGAACACGTGTGTGTTTGATGCGTAGTGTGTGTCTCAGGAACACGTGTGTGTTTATCTGATGTGTAGTGTGTGTCTCAGGAACACGTGTGTGTTTGATGTGTAGTGTGTGTCTCAGGAACACGTGTGTGTTTGATGTGTAGTGTGTGTCTCAGGAACACGTGTGTGTTTATCTGATGTGTAGTGTGTGTCTCAGGAACACGTGTGTGTTTATCTGATGTGTAGTGTGTGTCTCGAGAACACGTGTGTGTTTATCTGATGTGTAGTGTGTGTCTCGAGAACACGTGTGTGTTTATCTGATGCGTAGTGTGTGTCTCAGGAACACGTGTGTGTTTATCTGATGTGTAGTGTGTGTCTCAGGAACACGTGTGTGTTTATCTGATGTGTAGTGTGTGTCTCAGGAACACGTGTGTGTTTATCTGATGTGTAGTGTGTGTCTCAGGAACACGTGTGTGTTTATCTGATGTGTAGTGTGTGTCTCGAGAACACGTGTGTGTTTATCTGATGTGTAGTGTGTGTCTCGAGAACACGTGTGTGTTTATCTGATGTGTAGTGTGTGTCTCGAGAACACGTGTGTGTTTATCTGATGTGTAGTGTGTGTCTCGAGAACACGTGTGTGTTTATCTGATGCGTAGTGTGTGTCTCAGGAACACGTGTGTGTTTATCTGATGCGTAGTGTGTGTCTCAGGAACACGTGTGTGTTTATCTGATGTGTAGTGTGTGTCTCAGGAACACGTGTGTGTTTATCTGATGTGTAGTGTGTGTCTCAGGAACACGTGTGTGTTTGATGTGTAGTGTGTGTCTCAGGAACACGTGTGTGTTTGATGTGTAGTGTGTGTCTCAGGAACACGTGTGTGTTTATCTGATGCGTAGTGTGTGTCTCGAGAACACGTGTGTGTTTATCTGATGTGTAGTGTGTGTCTCAGGAACACGTGTGTGTTTATCTGATGCGTAGTGTGTGTCTCAGGAACACGTGTGTGTTTATCTGATGTGTAGTGTGTGTCTCGAGAACACGTGTGTGTTTATCTGATGTGTAGTGTGTGTCTCAGGAACACGTGTGTGTTTATCTGATGTGTAGTGTGTGTCTCAGGAACACGTGTGTGTTTGATGTGTAGTGTGTGTCTCAGGAACACGTGTGTGTTTATCTGATGTGTAGTGTGTGTCTCAGGAACACGTGTGTGTTTGATGTGTAGTGTGTGTCTCAGGAACACGTGTGTGTTTATCTGATGTGTAGTGTGTGTCTCGAGAACACGTGTGTGTTTATCTGATGTGTAGTGTGTGTCTCAGGAACACGTGTGTGTTTATCTGATGTGTAGTGTGTGTCTCAGGAACACGTGTGTGTTTGATGTGTAGTGTGTGTCTCAGGAACACGTGTGTGTTTATCTGATGCGTAGTGTGTGTCTCAGGAACACGTGTGTGTTTATCTGATGTGTAGTGTGTGTCTCAGGAACACGTGTGTGTTTATCTGATGTGTAGTGTGTGTCTCAGGAACACGTGTGTGTTTATCTGATGTGTAGTGTGTGTCTCAGGAACACGTGTGTGTTTATCTGATGTGTAGTGTGTGTCTCAGGAACACGTGTGTGTTTATCTGATGTGTAGTGTGTGTCTCAGGAACACGTGTGTGTTTATCTGATGTGTAGTGTGTGTCTCAGGAACACGTGTGTGTTTATCTGATGTGTAGTGTGTGTCTCGAGAACACGTGTGTGTTTATCTGATGTGTAGTGTGTGTCTCAGGAACACGTGTGTGTTTATCTGATGTGTAGTGTGTGTCTCAGGAACACGTGTGTGTTTATCTGATGTGTAGTGTGTGTCTCAGGAACACGTGTGTGTTTGATGTGTAGTGTGTGTCTCAGGAACACGTGTGTGTTTGATGTGTAGTGTGTGTCTCAGGAACACGTGTGTGTTTATCTGATGCGTAGTGTGTGTCTCAGGAACACGTGTGTGTTTATCTGATGTGTAGTGTGTGTCTCAGGAACACGTGTGTGTTTATCTGATGTGTAGTGTGTGTCTCAGGAACACGTGTGTGTTTATCTGATGTGTAGTGTGTGTCTCAGGAACACGTGTGTGTTTATCTGATGTGTAGTGTGTGTCTCAGGAACACGTGTGTGTTTATCTGATGTGTAGTGTGTGTCTCAGGAACACGTGTGTGTTTATCTGATGTGTAGTGTGTGTCTCAGGAACACGTGTGTGTTTATCTGATGTGTAGTGTGTGTCTCAGGAACACGTGTGTGTTTATCTGATGTGTAGTGTGTGTCTCAGGAACACGTGTGTGTTTATCTGATGTGTAGTGTGTGTCTCAGGAACACGTGTGTGTTTATCTGATGTGTAGTGTGTGTCTCGAGAACACGTGTGTGTTTGATGTGTAGTGTGTGTCTCAGGAACACGTGTGTGTTTGATGTGTAGTGTGTGTCTCAGGAACACGTGTGTGTTTGATGTGTAGTGTGTGTCTCGAGAACACGTGTGTGTTAATGAATGTTCCCGTCTCGCTGTCCTCAGCTTGTCCGCGATGGCTGTCCAGAAGAGAGCGCAGATCCTCTACCAGGATTGCTACGGCTTCCTGAAGCGAGCGCAGAACCTCCTGGAGAACGTGAGAGCCGTTCACACACACGTCCACTCTTCTGCATGTGACACACACACACACACACTCACAGTGATCTCTGCATGGTTCTGCTGTGGTGTTTCAGATGGGGCCGGCCGCTGAGGTGGACAAGAACATGATGGCAGCACTGGAGACCATGGAGCAGATGAAGATGTGTGCGGTGGAGTTACAGAGCGCCCGAGTGCCCGCCGACAACATCCTGCGCAGGTACAGCAGTGTGTGTGTGTGTGTGTGTGTGTGTGTGACGTAACCTGCTGACGTCAGTATTCAGCACACTATGAGTACATGTCAGTATCCAGGAATATATTGTGACATTCGTTCAGCAAGCATGTGTGTTTCTTCATCTTACGGACTCTTGCTAAACTTGCTTAGGGCTGTAACAATATCGCAATACAAAAATGCATCAATATGTATTGTGTATAGTTCACCCAAAATGAAAATTACTGTGCGAGAGGTTTTCAGAGTTTTAGTGTCAGTACGACATTAAACTGCTATATATTATGTTGAATATAATGTATAATAATGCACTGGGGGAATATTTGTGTGTCCTGATAATGCCAGATGTCAGTAAAAAGTGGCCGACATTATTATAAATACACTCACCTAAAGGATTATTAGGAACACCTGTTCAATTTCTCATTAATGCAATTATCTAATCAACCAATCACATGGCAGTTGCTTCAATGCATTTAGGGGTGTGGTCCTGGTCAAGACAATCTCCTGAACTCCAAACTGAATGTCAGAATGGGAAAGAAAGGTGATTTAAGCAATTTTGAGCGTGGCATGGTTGTTGGTGCCAGACGGGCCGGTCTGAGTATTTCACAATCTGCTCAGTTACTGGGATTTTCACGCACAACCATTTCTAGGGTTTACAAAGAATGGTGTGAAAAGGGAAAAACATCCAGTATGCGGCAGTCCTGTGGGCGAAAATGCCTTGTTGATGCTAGAGGTCAGAGGAGAATGGGCCGACTGATTCAAGCTGATAGAAGAGCAACTTTGACTGAAATAACCACTCGTTACAACCGAGGTATGCAGCAAAGCATTTGTGAAGCCACAACACGCACAACCTTGAGGCGGATGGGCTACAACAGCAGAAGACCCCACCGGGTACCACTCATCTCCACTACAAATAGGAAAAAGAGGCTACAATTTGCAAGAGCTCACCAAAATTGGACAGTTGAAGACTGGAAAAATGTTGCCTGGTCTGATGAGTCTCGATTTCTGTTGAGACATTCAGATGGTAGATTCAGAATTTGGCGTAAACAGAATGAGAACATGGATCCATCATGCCTTGTTACCACTGTGCAGGCTGGTGGTGGTGGTGTAATGGTGTGGGGGATGTTTTCCTGGCACACTTTAGGCCCCTTAGTGCCAATTGGGCATCGTTTAAATGCCACGGCCTACCTGAGCATTGTTTCTGACCATGTCCATCCCTTTATGGCCACCATGTACCCATCCTCTGATGGCTACTTCCAGCAGGATAATGCACCATGTCACAAAGCTCGAATCATTTCAAATTGGTTTCTTGAACATGACAATGAGTTCACTGTACTAAAATGGCCCCCACAGTCACCAGATCTCAACCCAATAGAGCATCTTTGGTATGTGGTGGAACGGGAGCTTCGTGCCCTGGATGTGCATCCCACAAATCTCCATCAACTGCAAGATGCTATCCTATCAATATGGCCAACATTTCTAAAGAATGCTTTCAGCACCTTGTTGAATCAATGCCACGTAGAATTAAGGCAGTTCTGAAGGCGAAAGGGGGTCAAACACAGTATTAGTGTGGTGTTCCTAATAATCCTTTAGGTGAGTGTATATCTAGTCAGTGACAGCACAAGCATATTCCACCAAAGTAATTCAGTGTTTTCAGCTTCAGAATCATGAATATTGTTATTCTGGTGTCTCTATTGTCCTGTGCTTTGGGTTTCAGCACCGAGTCCAAACGCCTGTTCATTCACACACACTATGTAACACCAAATTTAGCATTTTAATCAGCAGTACAATATCTGGAGATCAGAGTCGTGATTGGCTACGATGATCATGCGGAGTTAAAATCTCTTGATTTTAATGCCCCTTGTTGAAGAAACAGCAGATGTGTGTGTGAGGCTGAGCTGAAGGCTGTGTGTGTGTGTGTGTGTGTTGCAGTCTGGAGGAGTGTATGTTGATCCACACGGACATCCGTAACTCCATCACGGGCACGACTCTGCGCAGGACCAGCGCGGCGAGCGGCGGATGGGACGACCCCAGCAAGAGCTTGCAGGACGCTTTAGCCTGGATCAACCAGAAGAAGGTCTGACACACACACACACACACACACACACACACGAGCACGGTCAACTATGACACCTTCAAATAGTGTAACCCACTTCACAATAAGGTTCATTAGCTAACATTAGTGTATTAACTAACATGAACAAACCATGAGCAATACACTCAGTTGTGTAAATAAACTAAGGTAGTAAACTAATGACCCTTATTGTGAAGTGTTTCCGATGCTTGGCTATTGCAGATTATTGGTGATATTAGTACATTGGTGGTGCGTTTGCCATCAGTTGTTGCAACTATTTAAAAAAAAACATTTATGTTAATTGAATAAAATATAAATATTAGTTGAACAACTTTTAGTTGAAGCACTAAAATTATTAACTGGAAATAAATCAAACTGAAATGAAAGTAATTTAAACCTAAATTGTAATATTAAAATAATAATAATAAAATGACAAAAAGCATGTAACATAATGACTGATATTTAAGCTTCAATTAACATGAAAACTAGAGATAAATGCTAATTCAAAAACTATATTGATAAAACTAAACTAAAAAGTAAATAATGCTGTTTTTTGGATTTAAACTAGAAGAGAACAAGATGTGTTACTGATGTTGAAAGTGTTTATCTGATGAAAAATACTTTCAAATATTGTGAAAAATTATTACAATGTAAATCAGCTGTTCTCTATGTGAATATTTAATAAAGTATAATTTATGCCTGTGATCAAAGCTGAATTTTCAGCATCTTTACTCCAGTCTTCAGTGTCAGTGTGTGTGTGTGTGTGTGTGTGTGTGTGTGTGTGTGTGTGTGTGTGTGGAGAGGACGATGTGATTCCTCATGTGTTTATCAGGCAGAACAGCCCATAATGACAGCACTGCGCTGGAATTCACTCGCTCCTCCTCCTGTCCAGACTGGCCCTATCTCAGACCCCCACTTACCACAACAGAGAGAGAGAGAGAGAGAGAGAGAGAGAGAGAGAGAGAGAGAGAGAGAGAGAGAGAGAGAGAGAGAGAGAGAGTAGGAGTGTATGCAACTCCCTGACTTGTTGTTACTTGTGGTAGTGTAGAGAAGGACACGCACGCACACACACACACACACACACACACACACACACACACAGAGGTTAGACAGAGGAGCAGGAGACACACCCGGCTCTGCTGAGACACTCCCATACCACTTTCCCTTTAAAGTAAAGGAGTGGCGAACGAGCAAGACTTCCACTGAATACATTCATTTATACCGACAACATCATTGTAATGCGTTAAATCAAGTAAAAGAACATTTGCATATTATCATCCACCTGTGGCACACACACACGCACACTCGCGCGCACACTCGCACAAACACACACACACACACTTGCACGTGCACACACACACTCGCACACACACACACACACACACACGTTGTGTTTTCATGTTTTATGGGGACTTTCCATAGACATAATGATTTTTATACTGTACAGACTGTATATTCTATTCCCTTACACCAACCCTATCCCTAAACCTACCCATCACAGGAAACATTCTGCATTTTTACATTTTCAAACAACATCACTTAGTATGATTTATAAGCTGATTTCCTCATGGGGACCAAAAAATGTCCCCACACGAACAAGGATTTCGGATATTGCGATCCTTGTGGGGACATTTTGTCCCCATAACGTAGGGTTTACCAGGCCACACACACACACACACACACACACACACACACACACACACACACACACACACACAGAATTTAGACAGAGAACACACACACACACACACAGAGGTTCGACAGAGAACACACACACACACACACAGAGGTTCGACAGAGAACACACACACACACACACACACACACACACACACACACACACACACACACACACACACACACACACAGAGGTTTAGACAGAGAACACACACACACACACACACACAGAGAACACATTGTCTCTGAGAGCAGGAAGGGGGGAGGAGGGAAACAGGGAGTGTCTGTAGCAAACAAAGACACAGCAGTGAGAGTGTGTGTGGTGGAACTGGTTTGCAGTGCTTTAACACTGATCTCTGTCGGCTGAAATACCTCTGAGTCTCGCCCGACCCTGATCACACACACACACACATCACAGAAGAAGAAGCCACAGACTGCTCTCAGATCAGCTGATGTTAGCGCTCACACATTGACCCCTACAGGCCATCAGCGGCGATGATGATGATGATGATGATGAAGATATAAAGCTCAGATATGCTTTCAGAGGCCACGAATCACTGCGACTAAACCATGAGCTTTAAAGTGTGCCAACTCTGCAGATTTCATTGAACTAAAAGGATGAATCCACAGCACAGGAAACCCGTCCATGCTCAGACACTTCCCGACGATCCGCCGAGGAAAGGGAGGCGATGTTTACACAGGATAATGGCACACTACACCGGACTCTGCTCTCAGGGAGACCCGCGAATAACAGGAAGTGAACAATCTTATCTCAACTACAGACAGGAAAAGGGTATTACAGAAGAATCCTAACTCCACTAAAAAACTTTAGGACAACCCCAATGGTGTCCTAACTTCAAAAGTCATGAAGCTAAAAACATTTATCAATGAAGAACAGCGATGTGTGATGGCGGAGAGACGTTGTGAACCCCTGATGTGCTGCACTCAACAAACAATCAATAACAGACTCCTATGAAAGCTTATCTTAATGAAAAGCACCACTCATGTTTTATCCGTTTTACTTCACAGCGGTTTGTTTGTTTGCGTGTCGCTGGTTGCTTGGTAACAGACCTGAGAGTTGATCACCGAACTCGATGGAGGGTTTAGGATTTCCTAACTACAGATGAGATTTTATAAGATAGGATAAGAATCCTAAATCAAATTCTGTAAAAAGAATTTCTGAAAAATCCTAAATGTCAGATCTGAACTTAAGACTTCAGATAGAAAGTGTGTGTAATACGCCTTCTGTGGTTCCCAACAGGTTCTGCACCAGAAGGTTAGGGTTCACTGGGTTATTCTGACTTAACTCACCCAGTTTAAGTGCTCAAATTAACATTTTTTGGTCTTGATATGATGAAGATTGCAGATGTTGGTGTTGTATGTTGTTCATGTGTGTGTGTTTGTGTGTTGCAGAGACTCATTGAGACGTCACCCTTCGGTGAAGATAGTGAGACCATCAACCAACAAATCCTGAATCACAACAAGTTCCACAGCTCGATCCAGAGGAGCGTGGAGGTGGAGCGGGCCCGGGATGAGCTGGTACGAGGACGCTTCTTCAGTGCATGGCCTTCATATGATGGAGTCGTTTGAGTGGGGGTAGTGAAGGCCTGTTCACGCCGAGTACCATAACGATATTAGCTCTATTAGCTGAGTTTGTTATAAGCGCTCTGCAGTTTGGTCGTCTGGGTGGATTCTGATTGGCTGTCGAAGTTTTTATCATTCATCAGCTGGAAAACAATCGTTCTGAAAGTGATTCCAACGATATCATCGTATTATCAACGTTATATTTATAGGATTATATAGGATTTTTAGAAGGATATCTTTATCGTTACAGTAATCGTCCTCGGTGTGAGCGGGCGGCAAGAGAATTATTTGAAAGCACTTCAACTAATGAGCCTGTAAGAAACTTATAGAAGTTTACCGTAAGGCAAATGTACTGAACTAAATATTTTTATTTTATGCAAAATATATATTTTACAAAATAACATGGACTTTAAAATTGCTAGAAAATCAAAGCCAAGTGTCTAAATAAGTTTGAAGTTGATATCACACAGATGTAGCTGCTAAACTGCAGTAAAGAGCACGGTAACGCAGTGTCCAATATCAGCGATTTGAGCCGACCAATCAGGCTGTGAACAGATCTACATATCTACATAACAGATCTACAGATCTACAGATCTACATAACATATCTACAGATCTACAGATCTACATAACACATCTACAGATCTACATAACATATCTACAGATCTACAGATCTACATAACAGATCTACAGATCTACAGATCTACATATCTACATAACATATCTACAGATCTACAGATCTACATAACATATCTACAGATCTACAGATCTACATAACAGATCTACAGATCTACATCACATATCTACAGATCTACAGATCTACATAACATATCTACAGATCTACATAACATATCTACAGATCTACATAACATATCTACAGATCTACATAACACATCTACAGATCTACAGATCTACATAACACATCTACAGATCTACAGATCTACATAACACATCTACAGATCTACATAACACATCTACAGATCTACAGATCTACATAACACATCTACAGATCTACATAACAGATCTACAGATCTACAGATCTACATAACATATCTACAGATCTACAGATCTACATAACACATCTACAGATCTACATAACAGATCTACAGATCTACAGATCTACATAACATATCTACAGATCTACAGATCTACATAACACATCTACAGATCTACATAACATATCTACAGATCTACAGATCTACATAACAGATCTACAGATCTACAGATCTACATATCTACATAACAGATCTACAGATCTACAGATCTACATAACATATCTACAGATCTACAGATCTACATAACAGATCTACAGATCTACATCACATATCTACAGATCTACAGATCTACATAACATATCTACAGATCTACATAACATATCTACAGATCTACATAACATATCTACAGATCTACATAACACATCTACAGATCTACAGATCTACATAACACATCTACAGATCTACAGATCTACATAACACATCTACAGATCTACATAACAGATCTACAGATCTACAGATCTACATAACACATCTACAGATCTACAGATCTACATAACATATCTACAGATCTACAGATCTACATAACATATCTACAGATCTACATAACATATCTACAGATCTACAGATCTACATAACACATCTACAGATCTACAGATCTACATAACAGATCTACAGATCTACAGATCTACATAACAGATCTACAGATCTACATAACAGATCTACAGATCTACAGATCTACATAACATATCTACAGATCTACATAACAGATCTACAGATCTACATAACAGATCTACAGATCTACAGATCTACATAACATATCTACAGATCTACATAACATATCTACAGATCTACAGATCTACATAACACATCTACAGATCTACAGATCTACATAACAGATCTACAGATCTACAGATCTACATAACAGATCTACAGATCTACATAACAGATCTACAGATCTACAGATCTACATAACATATCTACAGATCTACAGATCTACATAACATATCTACAGATCTACAGATCTACATAACACATCTACAGATCTACAGATCTACATAACAGATCTACAGATCTACATAACACATCTACAGATCTACAGATCTACATAACAGATCTACAGATCTACATAACAGATCTACAGATCTACATAACACATCTACAGATCTACAGATCTACATAACAGATCTACAGATCTACAGATCTACATAACACATCTACAGATCTACAGATCTACATAACACATCTACAGATCTACAGATCTACATAACACATCTACAGATCTACAGATCTACATAACAGATCTACAGATCTACATAACAGATCTACAGATCTACATAACACATCTACAGATCTACAGATCTACATAACAGATCTACAGATCTACATAACAGATCTACAGATCTACAGATCTACATAACAGATCTACAGATCTACAGATCTACATAACACATCTACAGATCTACAGATCTACATAACACATCTACAGATCTACAGATCTACATCACATATCTACAGATCTACATAACATATCTACAGATCTACAGATCTACATAACACATCTACAGATCTACAGATCTACATAACACATCTACAGATCTACAGATCTACATAACACATCTACAGATCTACATAACAGATCTACAGATCTACAGATCTACATAACACATCTACAGATCTACAGATCTACATAACATATCTACAGATCTACAGATCTACATAACATATCTACAGATCTACATAACATATCTACAGATCTACATAACATATCTACAGATCTACAGATCTACATAACACATCTACAGATCTACAGATCTACATAACACATCTACAGATCTACAGATCTACATAACAGATCTACAGATCTACAGATCTACATAACAGATCTACAGATCTACAGATCTACATAACACATCTACAGATCTACAGATCTACATAACACATCTACAGATCTACAGATCTACATAACAGATCTACAGATCTACAGATCTACATCACATATCTCTAAGCTCTAAGCTTTTATGTTCGGCGTTAAAATTGCCAATGTGAATGCTAAGTGGACCAAGACTAAATGTTTTTTGTTTTGTTTTTCGGACCAAATGAACCAAGCAAACTAAACTAAGTTAAGTTTTTAACCATTTGGAAATGGATGCCTGATTCATGATTGTGATAAAACATGTGATGGGGAAGAAAGACTGTGAGTGTGTGTTGTCTGACTGTGAGTGTGTGTTGTCTGACTGTGAGTGTGTGTTGTCTGACTGTGTGTGTTTGTGCTTCAGGTGCAGAGCCGAGAGAAGGCTGTGTGTGTGTGTGTTGTCTGACTGTGAGTGTGTGTTGTCTGACTGTGAGTGTGTGTTGTCTGACTGTGAGTGTGTGTTGTCTGACTGTGAGTGTGTGTTGTCTGACTGTGAGTGTGTGTTGTCTGACTGTGTGTGTTTGTGCTTCAGGTGCAGAGCCGAGAGAAGGCTGTGAGTGTGTGTTGTCTGACTGTGAGTGTGTGTTGTCTGACTGTGAGTGTGTGTTGTCTGACTGTGTGTGTTTGTGCTTCAGGTGCAGAGCCGAGAGAAGGCTGTGTGTGTGTGTTGTCTGACTGTGAGTGTGTGTTGTCTGACTGTGAGTGTGTGTTGTCTGACTGTGAGTGTGTGTTGTCTGACTGTGTGTGTTTGTGCTTCAGGTGCAGAGCCGAGAGAAGGCTGTGAGTGTGTGTTGTCTGACTGTGAGTGTGTGTTGTCTGACTGTGAGTGTGTGTTGTCTGACTGTGTGTGTTTGTGCTTCAGGTGAAGAGCCGAGAGAAGGCTGTGTGTGTGTGTTGTCTGACTGTGAGTGTGTGTTGTCTGACTGTGAGTGTGTGTTGTCTGACTGTGTGTTTGTGCTTCAGGTGCAGAGCCGAGAGAAGGCTGTGAGTGTGTGTGATGTCTGACTGTGAGTGTGTGTTGTCTGACTGTGAGTGTGTGTTGTCTGACTGTGAGTGTGTGTTGTCTGACTGTGAGTGTGTGTTGTCTGACTGTGTGTGTTTGTGCTTCAGGTGCAGAGCCGAGAGAAGGCTGTGAGTGTGTGTTGTCTGACTGTGAGTGTGTGTTGTCTGACTGTGTGTGTTTGTGCTTCAGGTGCAGAGCCGAGAGAAGGCTGTATGTGTGTGTGTGTTGTCTGACTGTGAGTGTGTTGTCTGACTGTGTGTGTTTGTGCTTCAGGTGCAGAGCCGAGAGAAGACTGTGAGTGTGTGTTGTCTGACTGTGTGTGTGTGTTGTCTGACTGTAAGTGTGTTGTCTGACTGTGAGTGTGTGTTGTCTGACTGTGTGCGTTTGTGCTTCAGGTGCAGAGCCGAGAGAAGGCTGTGTGTGTGTGTTGTCTGACTGTGAGTGTGTTGTCTGACTGTGAGTGTGTGTTGTCTGACTGTGTGTGTTTGTGCTTCAGGTGCAGAGCCGAGAGAAGGCTGTGAGTGTGTGTTGTCTGACTGTGTGTGTGTGTTGTCTGACTGTGAGTGTGTGTTGTCTGACTGTGAGTGTGTGTTGTCTGACTGTGAGTGTGTGTTGTCTGACTGTAAGTGTGTTGTCTGACTGTGAGTGTGTGTTGTCTGACTGTGTGCGTTTGTGCTTCAGGTGCAGAGCCGAGAGAAGGCTGTGTGTGTGTGTTGTCTGACTGTGAGTGTGTTCTCTGACTGTGAGTGTGTGTTGTCTGACTGTGAGTGTGTGTTGTCTGACTGTGTGTGTTTGTGCTTCAGGTGCAGAGCCGAGAGAAGGCTGTGTGTGTGTGTTGTCTGACTGTAAGTGTGTTGTCTGACTGTGAGTGTGTGTTGTCTGACTGTGTGTGTTTGTGCTTCAGGTGCAGAGCCGAGAGAAGGCTGTGAGTGTGTGTTGTCTGACTGTGAGTGTGTGTTGTCTGACTGTGAGTGTGTGTTGTCTGACTGTGTGTGTGTGTTTGTGCTTCAGATGCAGAGCCGAGAGAAGGCTGTGAGTGTGTGTGATGTCTGACTGTGTGTGTGTGTTGTCTGACTGTGAGTGTGTGTTGTCTGACTGTGAGTGTGTGTTGTCTGACTGTGAGTGTGTGTTGTCTGAGTGTAAGTGTGTTGTCTGACTGTGAGTGTGTGTTGTCTGACTGTGTGCGTTTGTGCTTCAGGTGCAGAGCCGAGAGAAGGCTGTGTGTGTGTGTTGTCTGACTGTGAGTGTGTTGTCTGACTGTGAGTGTGTGTTGTCTGACTGTGTGTGTTTGTGCTTCAGGTGCAGAGCCGAGAGAAGGCTGTGTGTGTGTGTTGTCTGACTGTAAGTGTGTTGTCTGACTGTGAGTGTGTGTTGTCTGACTGTGTGTGTTTGTGCTTCAGGTGCAGAGCCGAGAGAAGGCTGTGAGTGTGTGTTGTCTGACTGTGAGTGTGTGTTGTCTGACTGTGAGTGTGTGTTGTCTGACTGTGTGTGTGTTTGTGCTTCAGATGCAGAGCCGAGAGAAGGCTGTGAGTGTGTGTGATGTCTGACTGTGTGTGTTTGTGCTTCAGATGCAGAGCCGAGAGAAGGCTGTGAGTGTGTGTGATGTCTGACTGTGTGTGTTTGTGCTTCAGATGCAGAGCCGAGGGAAGGCTGTGAGTGTGTGTTGTCTGACTGTGAGTGTGTGTTGTCTGACTGTGAGTGTGTGTTGTCTGACTGTGTGTGTGTTTGTGCTTGAGGTGCAGAGCCGAGAGAAGGCTGTGAGTGTGTGTTGTCTGACTGTGAGTGTGTGTTGTCTGACTGTGTGCATGTTTGTGCTTCAGGTGCAGAGCCGAGAGAAGGCTGTGAGTGTGTGTTGTCTGACTGTGAGTGTGTGTTGTCTGACTGTGTGTGTGTGTTGTCTGACTGTGAGTGTGTGTTGTCTGACTGTGTGTGTGTGTTGTCTGACTGTGAGTGTGTTGTCTGACTGTGTGTGTGTTGTCTGACTGTGAGTGTGTGTTGTCTGACTGTGAGTGTGTGTTGTCTGACTGTGTGTGTGTGTGTTGTCTGACTGTGAGTGTGTGTTGTCTGACTGTGTGTGTGTGTGTGTGTATGTGTGTTGTCTGACTGTGTGTGTGTGTTGTCTGACTGTGAGTGTGTGTTGTCTGACTGTGAGTGTGTGTTGTCTGACTGTGAGTGTGTGTTGTCTGACTGTGAGTGTGTGTTGTCTGACTGAGTGTGTGTTGTCTGACTGTGTGTGTGTTTGTGCTTGAGGTGCAGAGCCGAGAGAAGGCTGTGAGTGTGTGTTGTCTGACTGTGAGTGTGTGTTGTCTGACTGTGTGTGTTTGTGCTTCAGGTGCAGAGCCGAGAGAAGGCTGTGAGTGTGTGTTGTCTGACTGTGAGTGTGTGTTGTTGGACTGTGAGTGTGTGTTGTCTGACTGTGAGTGTGTGTTGTCTGACTGTGTGTGTGTGTTGTCTGACTGTGAGTGTGTGTTGTCTGACTGTGAGTGTGTGTTGTCTGACTGTGTGTGTGTGTTGTCTGACTGTGAGTGTGTGTTGTCTGACTGTGAGTGTGTGTTGTCTGACTGTGTGTGTGTGTTGTCTGACTGTGAGTGTGTGTTGTTGGACTGTGAGTGTGTGTTGTCTGACTGTGAGTGTGTGTTGTCTGACTGTGTGTGTGTGTTGTCTGACTGTGAGTGTGTGTTGTCTGACTCTGAGTGTGTGTTGTCTGACTGTGTGTGTGTTGTCTGACTGTGAGTGTGTGTTGTCTGACTGTGTGTGTGTGTTGTCTGACTGTGAGTGTGTGTTGTCTGACTGTGAGTGTGTGTTGTCTGACTGTGAGTGTGTGTTGTCTGACTGTGTGTGTGTGTTGTCTGACTGTGAGTGTGTGTTGTCTGACTGTGAGTGTGTGTTGTCTGACTGTGTGTGAGTGTTGTCTGACTGTGAGTGTGTGTTGTCTGACTGTGTGTGTGTGTTGTCTGACTGTGAGTGTGTGTTGTCTGACTGTGAGTGTGTGTTGTCTGACTGTGTGTGTGTGTTGTCTGACTGTGAGTGTGTGTTGTCTGACTGTGAGTGTGTGTTGTCTGACTGTGTGTGTGTTGTCTGACTGTGAGTGTGTGTTGTCTGACTGTGTGTGTGTATTGTCTGACTGTGAGTGTGTGTTGTCTGACTGTGAGTGTGTGTTGTCTGACTGTGTGTGTGTGTTGTCTGACTGTGAGTGTGTGTTGTCTGACTGTGAGTGTGTGTTGTCTGACTGTGTGTGTGTGTTGTCTGACTGTGAGTGTGTGTTGTTGGACTGTGAGTGTGTGTTGTCTGACTGTGAGTGTGTGTTGTCTGACTCTGAGTGTGTGTTGTTGGACTGTGAGTGTGTGTTGTCTGACTGTGAGTGTGTGTTGTCTGACTGTGTGTGTGTGTGTTGTCTGACTGTGAGTGTGTGTTGTCTGACTGTGAGTGTGTGTTGTCTGACTGTGAGTGTGTGTGTTGTCTGACTGTGAGTGTGTGTTGTCTGACTGTGAGTGTGTGTTGTCTGACTGAGTGTGTGTTGTCTGACTGTGTGTGTGTGTTGTCTGACTGTGAGTGTGTGTTGTCTGACTGTGAGTGTGTGTTGTCTGACTGTGTGTGTGTGTTGTCTGACTGTGAGTGTGTGTTGTCTGACTGTGAGTGTGTGTTGTCTGACTGTGAGTGTGTGTTGTCTGACTGTGAGTGTGTGTTGTCTGACTGTGTGTGTTTGTGCTTCAGGTGCAGAGCCGAGAGAAGGCTGTGAGTGTGTGTTGTCTGACTGTGTGTTGTCTGACTGTGAGTGTGTGTTGTCTGACTGTGTGTGTGTGTGTTGTCTGACTGTGTGTGTGTGTTGTCTGACTGTGAGTGTGTGTTGTCTGACTGTGAGTGTGTGTTGTCTGACTGTGAGTGTGTGTTGTCTGACTGTGAGTGTGTGTTGTCTGACTGTGAGTGTGTGTTGTCTGACTGTGTGTGTGTGTTTGTGCTTGAGGTGCAGAGCCGAGAGAAGGCTGTGTGTGTGTGTTGTCTGACTGTGAGTGTGTTGTCTGACTGTGAGTGTGTGTTGTCTGACTGTGAGTGTGTGTTGTCTGACTGTAAGTGTGTTGTCTGACTGTGAGTGTGTGTTGTCTGACTGTGTGTGTTTGTGCTTCAGGTGCAGAGCCGAGAGAAGGCTGTGTGTGTGTGTTGTCTGACTGTAAGTGTGTTGTCTGACTGTGAGTGTGTGTTGTCTGACTGTAAGTGTGTTCTCTGACTGTAAGTGTGTTGTCTGACTGTGTGTGTGTTTGTGCTTGAGGTGCAGAGCCGAGAGAAGGCTGTGTGTGTGTGTTGTCTGACTGTGAGTGTGTTGTCTGACTGTGAGTGTGTGTTGTCTGACTGTGAGTGTGTGTTGTCTGACTGTAAGTGTGTTGTCTGACTGTGAGTGTGTGTTGTCTGACTGTGTGTGTTTGTGCTTCAGGTGCAGAGCCGAGAGAAGGCTGTGAGTGTGTGTTGTCTGACTGTGAGTGTGTGTTGTTGGACTGTGAGTGTGTGTTGTCTGACTGTGAGTGTGTGTGTTGTCTGACTGTGTGTGTGTTGTCTGACTGTGAGTGTGTGTTGTCTGACTGACTGTGTGTGTGTGTTGTCTGACTGTGAGTGTGTGTTGTCTGACTGTGAGTGTGTGTTGTCTGACTGTGTGTGTGTGTTGTCTGACTGTGAGTGTGTGTTGTCTGACTGTGAGTGTGTGTTGACTGACTGTAAGTGTGTGTTGTCTGACTGTGAGTGTGTGTTGTCTGACTGTGTGTGTTTGTGCTTCAGGTGCAGAGCCGAGAGAAGGCTGTGAGTGTGTGTTGTCTGACTGTGTGTGTGTGTTGTCTGACTGTGTGTGTTTGTGCTTCAGGTGCAGAGCCGAGAGAAGGCTGTGAGTGTGTGTTGTCTGACTGTGAGTGTGTGTTGTCTGACTGTGAGTGTGTGTTGTCTGACTGTGTGTGTGTTTGTGCTTCAGGTGCAGAGCCGAGAGAAGGCTGTGTGTGTGTGTTGTCTGAGTGTGAGTGTGTTGTCTGACTGTGAGTGTGTGTTGTCTGACTGTGAGTGTGTGTTGTCTGACTGTAAGTGTGTTGTCTGACTGTGAGTGTGTGTTGTCTGACTGTGTGTGTTTGTGCTTCAGGTGCAGAGCCGAGAGAAGGCTGTGAGTGTGTGTTGTCTGACTGTGAGTGTGTGTTGTTGGACTGTGAGTGTGTGTTGTCTGACTGTGAGTGTGTGTGTTGTCTGACTGTGTGTGTGTTGTCTGACTGTGAGTGTGTGTTGTCTGACTGACTGTGTGTGTGTGTTGTCTGACTGTGTGTGTGTTTGTGCTTGAGGTGCAGAGCCGAGAGAAGGCTGTGTGTGTGTGTGTTGTCTGACTGTGAGTGTGTGTTGTCTGACTGTGAGTGTGTGTTGTCTGACTGTGTGTGTGTGTTGTCTGACTGTGAGTGTGTGTTGTCTGACTGTGAGTGTGTGTTGTCTGACTGTGAGTGTGTGTTGTCTGACTGTGAGTGTGTGTTGTCTGACTGTGTGTGTTTGTGCTTCAGGTGCAGAGCCGAGAGAAGGGTGGACTCCACGCGCTGGACCAGGAGTGGGACAATCTACAGGTCAGTTATAATAGCAGCAATATAATTTATTGTAATATAATATTACAATATTCAGATTGTTATTTCATGTGATTTACAGGTAGTTCAAATGTTATGAAATGTTTTATATGCAGAGCTTTGAAAAAACATTTTAGGAGATACTGTAAAGGTTAGAGGGTTAATCAAGTGCAGTTAGTAGAACATCAGTAAGGATGTTTATTAAAGCCTCAGATCTTGTTTGGTCATAATGGTGCCATCATGCCATCATAAAAGAGCTGGCCAATCAGAATGAGCCATTTACAGGTAACCAAACCATTTTCATTCAGTCACTAAATCATTTCGCCACTCAGTAATGTCATACAATCAACAACAACAAGCAGTGTTCATGTGTGAATGAAAGCCTAGAGTTTGCATTTTTAGGTGAACTAACTTCTTAAACACCAATGTTGCAGGAACCGAGGTTAGATGAAGGCTGTGAGGGCTGAGTGTAGGAGAAGACCGAGAACCCAGTTGCAGAAACCAGAGCTCAGTCAGGGTCAGGGAGCACACTTAATGCCTCCTTTAATTAGTCCAGAAAGTAAATAAAAAAACTGAAGATCCAAATGCTCCAAGGACTCGATACAAAAAAACTAATAGAGGGTCTAGAAACAAAGGGCAAATAATGTTTCCCCAAAGGGTAAATAAAAAAACTTCTAAGGAAATAAGGACAACAAAATAATAAAAGTCAGATAATCAAACAGAGCAAATCAATCCGGAGAAAGACTGGAGATGCCTCAACCTAACTAACACTGAGCAAAAAACAGGAACAGAGCAGCTGAGGGTGTGTTTACACGACAGCGACACGCTTAAAGCCGAGACGTTTCTCCTTTGAGTTTCCCGCGTACAGACGACACCAGTGTGAAACCGATCCCCATTCACTCGGATCCGCGGATACGGCTGAAAGCGCTGTATTCTGCTGCCAGGCCAGTAGATGGCGATAACACACTGTAGACTGAACACGTAATACGCATGTGTATCGTCTTCACAGATTCACGTTTTTGTTGTTTACACAGAGACTGTTCTCAAAAACGTGCACTTTGAAACCCGTTTTCAAAAGTTTGCGTTTTCAGGCGCCCAAAACGCAGTTGTGTGTAAACGAACGGCCAAAGCGCATAAAAAGTACGTTTTTAGCATGAAAACGGTGTTGTGTAAACAGCCTATTTTCTACTTTTCGAAGACTCCACTAAACGAACACGAGGAAGGCAAGAAACTCTTATAAATGAATGAGGCACAGGTGAGAACAATAACGCATGATAAACTGGCGGGAAACTGAAGTGAAACACAATGAGGGCCTCTAGTGGCCAAAACTAGTCGGTAATGCTTCCTTGTACAGTCCTGTTACCCATGTACTACATACTATGTACTTATTATAGTAATTATAATTACTGGGTAATAACTAGGTACTAACCCTGAACCTACCCCTAACCCATGTACTTACCTTATATTAGCCAGTACTTTCTAATATCTCTTTCTACTTTCTACATTAACAAAAAACTCTCTTTTTGTTAATGTAAACATTAACATTTACTAATACTAACACACGTAAGTCCTGTACTGTAAAAGCAAGCGTTACCAACTAGTCCAAAACGTAACAAAAGAAATATATTACTTAAATAAAACACTATGAATTTAAATGCATGAATGAAATAAAAGGCAGAGCAACCCTTTGTTCAGCCTTCTCTCGTCATGATCTGAATCCTGCGGTTGCACAGAGACCACACACACACACACGCCTGATCGTTTCTCCCTCTCCACACACAGAAAATGTCTCACCAGCGCGTGTCTCAGCTGCGGGACCTGCAGGGCATCATCGAGGAGATCTCCACGGCCATCATGTGGGTCAACGACCGGGAGGAGGAGGAGCTGGTGTTCGACTGGGGCGACAAGAACATCGACACCTACATCCCTCGCAAACAGGAGAGCTACTCGGTGAGACACACACACACACACACACACACACACACACACACACACACACACACGCACACACACGCACACACACACACGCTAACTCCATCCATCTGCAGTCCGTGCAACAGGCCGAGCGAGTCTAGTTATCTAGTAGCCTTAGCATGGGTTAATTTGGTCATATTAGCTGCAATATAAGCTAACAATGAACAATACATGTATTAATTGGTAACACTTTACAATAAGGTTCATTACTTAACTACCTTAGTTAACATGAACTAAAAATGAACAATACTTCAGCAATTATTAATCTTAGTTAATTTCAGCATTTACTAATACGTTATTACAATCAAAGGTTGTATTTGTTCAACATTTACTAATACTAACATTAACATTTACTAATACTAACATTAACAAAGATGAATAAATAATGTAACAAATGTTAGTTCATGTTAGTAAATACATTAACTAATGTTAACTAATGAACCTTATTGTAAAGTGTTACCTATTCATCTATTTATTGAAACTATCCCGCATGATTTTAGCTTCTAATGTATGTGTTTCCCGCTAGAAACTGATGAGTGATCTGGAAGAGAAAGAGAAAGACCTGAATAAGCTGAAGACGAAGGTGGACAACCTCCTGAAGAACCAGCACCCAGCGTCAGATAAGATCCAGGTGAGGAACATGACGGGGACGTGATAGACGTGTGGCCAACCCGTGAGATCTGGCAACCCGTGAGATCTGGCATCCCTGTGAGACTTTTGGATTCCTGATGAAATGGGCCGGAAAAAGAGATTTGAATCATTTATTATAAATGTGACTCACAGCTGTTATTTTCTTTAGCCAATCAGGACTCTCTCTCAGTAGTGATGTCATCATGTCCACCAAAACTCCACAGTGTGTGTTCTTGGTTACAGAAGTGTGTGTCTGTGACAGGCGTGCTGGAGATTCATTCACAGAACACAACGAGTTCATGTTTACAGATTTAAAGAATCATTCTGTAAAAGAAAAGGACCTCCCAGAAGCCAAGTCCTGGCTTATAAATAGGGCCCTTTAAGACACATAATTAGTACTAATAACATCACAAAATAATCCACCCACCCAGTACCCATCCACAACAAACAACAACACCATTCACCACAAAAATATCCACCCCCAACCAGCATATATCACGCATCTCAGATCAGTTATGACACTGCGCTTACTGTGCGACATTTCCAATCAATTATTAAAGAAATGTACAAATATTTGCTATGAAATAATCTTTCCCTTGGGGAAAAAGAAGTGCACTTCACTGTATTGAGTGTGTACTTGTACTTCTGAGTTACAGATAATATACCGGTGAAAATCGAAACATTAGAATATCGTGTATCGAATATTAGAATATTATGTCTTATAGCTTATGAAATTATTAAAAATCTCAGAAAATTAGAATATGACATGAAATCAATAATAAAAAAAAGGATTTTAAATACAGAAATGTCGGCCCTCTGAAAAGTATAATCATGCATGTGTAAATATATTAGTTTCACCTTTTAATTTGGATTACTGAAATACATGAACTTTTGCACGATATTCTCATTTTTCGAGTTTCACCTGTAATATTAAAAGGCCATATAAGCACACACTTTTAAAATGAATGATCTCAAATGAACAGTTTTACTTTAAAGTACATTATAAATCATCATGTTTTAAAGAAGTGCCCTTATTTTGAAGTGTTGACTAACATACTAAAGAACAGTGTAGTGTGCGTGATTATAATCGGACTGTAGTGTGTTATACAGTATTGCATTTAGAGTTAATAGACGTACTAAATTGCAAACTTCCTCATTACAGATGTCCCACAGCTGTGCAAACATGTGATCTGTGCTATGATCGGGGAGTGCAGGTTTGCTAGTGCGATGTCAGACTTGTGATTTTTCTCAAGCAAACACTGAAACGAGTGCAAACTGATCCTGAGCCACATATAGAGGCTCTTTTCAATTGGTTGACAATCACATAGCAATAATTTGAATCTATAAATGTATCCCGAAGCACTCAGTATGCAGACTCAGATCTGTTTTAGACTGTTGCATTAGGCTCACATGAGTTGAAGCGTCTGCTTTCCGTAATGCTTTCTGATGTTCCCTGTCAGGCTTACATGGACACGCTGCAAACCCAGTGGAGCTGGCTACTGCAGATCACCAAGTGCATCGACGTGCACCTGAAGGAGAACGCCGCCTACAGCCAGGTAAGGGTTATGGACTGGATATACGGTGTATTATTGTGACAGCAGAGAAACACGTTGCACGTGTGTCACAGTGACTGACCAGTACGAGCTAGTCCACCAAAAACATCCAAATCTGTAATACGGTTTAACAATTACAGCCACGAGACATACACAGGTTCTTAGTGTGGGGGAAAAACATTGTGAAGTTATATCACGGTTTATGAGTTTGTTTCCATGACAAGGTATTGGATGAAAGCCTAAAACGACTGTACAAATTATCAGAAAAACTTTAGAGCCCCAAAATAATAATAATTTTAATGCAAGTGATTTTATAAATGACAAGCTACACATTTCCTTCTAAAATTGGCCTCATGTACATTGTAAGCTTTATTATGTTGTGTCCTCATTAATAATGTTTACATGCACAGTTATAACTGAGCTACTGTCTAAGTATAGGTGACAGTGCATGAATATTTGAAGGAATAACGTTGCATATTTCAGGATTATTATCATTACCTAAAACCATTAAAAGCATTTCTGCTAAATTTAAATAAATTGTAATTATTAGAAACTTATAAACTTGAAGTTGATGCACGTATTACAATAACTCAAAGCCCCAGTCCCTTTTCAGTGTAGTTGCATTGAACCCGTCCGTTATCCAGCATTTCTATTCTGGAAGAAAGTAAGCCATGAAGCCGAGTAAAGTTTTATTGGTGTGTGTACTCCTCTGTAGTTCTTCAAGGAGGCGAACGAGACGTACGCCAGACTGCAGAAAGACCACGAGGTGATCCGTAAGAAGTTCTCCTGTGACAAGAGCACACCTCTGGAGAACCTCACAGAAATGCTCAAGACGCTGGAGGTACGACTTCTGCAAAGCCAAACACCTGTGGAGTTAAACACCAGTGCTCACTGGATCCTCTGTGTGTGTGTGTGTGTGTAGAAAGAGAAGGAGAGGATGATAGAGAGCAAGAGGCAGGTGCAGACGCTGGTCAGCAAGTCCAAGAGCATCGTGTGTCTGAAGCCGCGTTACCCCGAGGAGAAGAGCAGCGCTCAGGTCATGGTCAAAGCTCTGTGTGACTTCAAACAGGACCAGGTGAGTCTCCTCCTTCAGACACACACACGTCTTTATGAGTCAGTCATTCAATAGATGTGTTGTATCTATTGAATTGCATATATGACTACTATATCTATTGAGTGAATGATTCAATGACTCACTCATAAAGACGTTTTCGAACAAATCTCTTGAGTGAATGATTCAATGACTCACTCATAAAGACATTTTTGAACGAATCTCTTGAGTGAATGATTCAATGACTCACTCATAAAGACATTTTTGAACGAATCTCTTGAGTGAATGATTCAATGACTCACTCATAAAGACATTTTTGAACGAATCTCTTGAGTGAATGATTCAATGACTCACTCATAAGGACATTTTTGAACGAATCTCTTGAGTGAATGATTCAATGACTCACTCATAAAGACGTTTTCGAACAAATCTCTTGAGTGAATGATTCAATGACTCACTCATAAAGACGTTTTTGAACGAATCTCTTGAGTGAATAATTCAATGACTCACTCATAAAGACTTGTTTCTTTACTGGATGAATCAGCATTTTTGAACGAATCTCTTGAGTGAATGATTCAATGACTCACTCATAAAGACATTTTTGAATGAATCTCTTGAGTGAATGATTCAATGACTCGCTCATAAAGACGTTTTTGAACGAATCTCTTGAGTGAATGATTCAATGACTCACTCATAAAGACGTTTTCGAACAAATCTCTTGAGTGAATGATTCAATGACTCACTCATAAAGACGTTTTTGAACGAATCTCTTGAGTGAATGATTCAATGACTCACTCATAAAGACGTTTTTGAACGAATCTATTGAGTGAATGATTCAATGACTCACTCATAAAGACATTTTTGAACGAATCTCTTGAGTGAATGATTCAATGACTCACTCATAAAGACATTTTTGAACGAATCTCTTGAGTGAATGATTCAATGACTCACTCATAAAGACATTTTTGAACGAATCTCTTGAGTGAATGATTCAATGACTCACTCATAAAGACATTTTTGAACGAATCTCTTGAGTGAATGATTCAATGACTCACTCATAAGGACATTTTTGAACGAATCTCTTGAGTGAATGATTCAATGACTCACTCATAAAGACGTTTTCGAACAAATCTCTTGAGTGAATGATTCAATGACTCACTCATAAAGACGTTTTTGAACGAATCTCTTGAGTGAATAATTCAATGACTCACTCATAAAGACTTGTTTCTTTACTGGATGAATCAGCATTTTTGAACGAATCTCTTGAGTGAATGATTCAATGACTCACTCATAAAGACATTTTTGAATGAATCTCTTGAGTGAATGATTCAATGACTCACTCATAAAGACGTTTTTGAACGAATCTCTTGAGTGAATGATTCAATGACTCACTCATAAAGACGTTTTCGAACAAATCTCTTGAGTGAATGATTCAATGACTCACTCATAAAGACGTTTTTGAACGAATCTCTTGAGTGAATGATTCAATGACTTACTCATAAAGACGTTTTTGAACTAATCTCTTGAGTGAATAATTCAATGACTCACTCATAAAAACTTGTTTCTTTACTAGATGAATCAGCATTTTTGAACGAATCTCTTGAGTGAATGATTCAATGACTCACTCATAAAGACGTTTTCGAACAAATCTCTTGAGTGAATGATTCAATGACTCACTCATAAAGACGTTTTTGAACGAATCTCTTGAGTGAATGATTCAATGACTCACTCATAAAGACGTTTTTGAACGAATCTCTTGAGTGAATGATTCAATGACTCACTCATAAAAACTTGTTTCTTTACTAGATGAATCAGCATTTTTGAACGAATCTCTTGAGTGAATGATTCAATGACAAACACATGTTTAACAGTCACGTGTCTCCCCCTACTGGTGTAACGATGTAATTAATACACTCTTTATTTGAAGCGTCAATTTAGCCTACTTTTAAAAGCTGATTTACTCAAATTTGCTACCGTAGACATCAGTGTTTATATCCGAACTATACGCTTTTCTCCCAGTACTTCTGTGATCAATATGAATGATTGTAAGGCAGAAATAATGATACTGTGAGGTTGAAAAGACTGGTTCATATCTTTACAACGGCTCTCTCTGGATCAGATCTGAATCGCTGTGATCAGACTTGTCACAGGTTTAATACGCTTTTATCGCTTGTTTCTGCTCCTGTTTTGATCCGGAGATTCTGTACTCTCTCAGAAGTTGTGTAAGAGCGACCCTTAATGTATAACAGTGAAAACATGGAAAGTTGGACATTTCTGTCAATGGCGGGAAGCGTTAATTAACTACACAAAAATACAGCAAGGTATTTTGGTTTCACTGTATTTTACGGTGTCCGTGTTACCGTGTAATTAAGCATTTAAGTGCTGAGTAATAATGATGAACTACATGCACTGTGGAGTTAGGGTTAGTTGCATGTACTTATACATAATTTACAGTTATTACTATAGTAACTACATGTAACGTGTAACAAGGACACTGTAAAATAAAGTGTTACCGCGGTTTTTTTAACTCTACTTCTAGAAAATTGCTGCATATACCAAGCGCATAATAACTTTGTCAGTTTCTGAGAATTACCATCAACTATAGACGTTGCATCCATTGATTCTGCCATGTTTCTCATTGAACATCCAGTGTGTCCCACTCTTAGTTAGTGTAGGCGCTCATGTGAGTGAACATGACTTGAACGCACGAGCCTCCAGCTGTGATTTTCAAGTAAACCCAAAGACCTTGTTTAGTTGTTTCAGGTGTCATTTAACGCTAGAACTAAATTTAGTATGTAAACGCAGAGTGTATGTATATCTGATGTTTCTGCAAACCCCTGTGAAACACTGTGTGTGTGTGTGTGTGTGTGTTACAGAAGGGGATTCTGAAGAACGACGAAGGCATCCTGAAGGACAACACGCAGCGCAGCAAGTGGCATGTCACCGGACCAGGAGGACTGGAGATGCTGATACCATCCGTGTGTCTGATCATCCCACCGCCGAACCCTCTGAGCATCAGTCTGGCACAAAAGTACGACAAACACACACATGCACACAGATCACAGAGCAGCTGACAGTGTCATAGAGCAGAAATGCATTGATTCGTTGATTGTCTGACAGGAACGAGCAGTACTATGAAGCCATCATGTCCATCTGGAGTCAGCTGTTCATCAACATCAAGAGTCTGATATCCTGGCAGTACTGCATGAAGGACTTTCAGCACATCAACTCCCTCACGCTCACAATGGTAGGAGATGAGAGCTTACTGCCCTCCAGTCACCAATGTCTCCATCTATGGGTGCTTTACTGAATCTTTTGTCTGTTTTAGCTGTCACAAATGCGTCCTGAGGAGTATCGCAACATCATTAAGAGCCTGGAGATTCACTACCAGGAGTTCATGCGTCACAGTCTCGGCTCTGAGATGTTTGGCGATGAAGACAAGAGAAAGATGGAGCAGCAGTACGCTGGAGCACAATCCCATTACGACCAGCTGGTGATCCAGCTGCCCAACTATAGTAAGACCAAAGACACGTTCAACACATCCAGTCACATGTACTAATTCATGTAAAACGGTTAGTCCCAGTCCTTGATTCTGATTGGTCAATAGGTGCGTTTTATTCATGATAAAACACGCCTATAACCGCTTCACCCAACGACTCTAGCAACCACTCTTAGCAACGCAAACACATGTTCTCATTGATATTGTTCATTGAAGCTTATAGTGTAACGTTAGAGTATTGTGAGAGATCTAGTAAGCAAGTGTCCCTGCATTTACAGTAGATATAGTATTTTCCTTCAGGTCAGTCCTATATTCGTGATACAAAATCTGTTTGAATGTCCGCTGATATCTTGTCCTTTTAACAGTCAAGGGGTTTTCCCGTTGGCGATACACTGTGTCTTGCTTCTTCATGTTCACAACAAGTTGTAGTCCTTTCAATATAAAAGTCTTCTGAATGACTGACTCACTCATAAAGACCGTCTTTGCCGCCATCCAATGGCGAAATAATGTAACTTCTGTTGCTGTTCACAGTCAGGGACTAGGGACGAGGCTTTTATTGATTTTACTTCATGAAAGTTGCATTGATACATATTGATACTCTCGTACCTTTTTGCTTACATATACAGGACTGAAGTTGCCCATCCCTGATTTAGGATGACTTCATTTAATTACTCTTGCTTTACAAAGGAGTTGTATTTGTCTTTCAGGGGATAAAGGGGGGAAAGGTGGTGTGGGGAATGTGCAGACAGATGGGAAGATCGTGGTGACAACTGGAACAACGGTGACAACTGAAAACACGATGACAGCTGGGAAACCGGGGACAACTGGGAAACCGGGGACAACTGGGAAACCGGTGGTGACGACTGGGAAGACGGTCACCTCGGGGCTGAACGTCAGTCTCATGTCAGACCTGAGCGCTCTCAGACGCAGACTAGAGGGAGCGGAGGCCGGCTTGATTCAGCATCTCCACGTGCCTCTGAAGGAGAACGGTGTACAGCAGTGCTCACAGAGACTTGTGCTGCTGCAGGTACAACCACACACTTAAACATCACTACCAGTAGCATAGTCTGCTGGAACAACCAGTGATGGACCAATGTATTGCCCAAGCCGATTATCAGCCAATATTTGGATTTCCAGCATTATTATTCCAGCATAATCGTATAACAGTTGCCTCATAACCATATAGCAAGTTAATTTTTTATTTACTAAGCACATTTGCATAACGATCTGTTTCATCAGGGTGTACATCATGATCTGGACACCATCCAGGACGAGTACCTGCATCTGAGGGAGAGGATTTTAAGAGAGCTGGAGGGAAGCACTAACCAAGAGCAGACGCGGTACCTGCGCTCTGAACTGGACCTCATCAACCAGAAGCTGGGCAGTCTGCAAGGATTTTCAGCAGCATATATCCAGAGGCAAGAACATTTTACAAGGACCTATTCTGCTTTTCGTCATGTTCATCTTTCTTTAGTGTGTAATGTTGCTATTTGAGCATGAAAAAGCTCTGCAAAGTTCCAACGTTATTCTCTATATCAGTGTCAGTGTTTTTGAACTCCCTGAAATGGCTCCATTGTAGTCTTGAGTTTTCTTCCGGCCAATCAGAGCAGAGTAGACCAATCACAACAGACTGGGCCATCTGACCAATCAGAGCAGAGTAGACCAATCACAACAGACTGGACCATCTGACCAATCAGAGCAGAGTAGACCAATCACAACAGACTGGACCATCTGACCAATCAGAGCAGAGTAGACCAATCACAACAGAACACTGGGTCATCTGACCAATCAGAACAGAGTAGACCAATCACAACAGACTGGGCCATCTGACCAATCAGAGCAGAGTAGACCAATCACAACAGACTGGGCCATCTGACCAATCAGAGCAGAGTAGACCAATCACAAGAGACTGGACCATCTGACCAATCAGAGCAGAGTAGACCAATCACAACAGACTGGGCCATCTGACCAATCAGAGCAGAGCAGACCAATCACAACAGACTGGGCTATCTGACCAATCAGAGCAGAGCAGACCAATCACAGAAGACTGGGTCTTCTGACCAATCAGAGCAGAGTAGACCAATCACAACAGACTGGACCATCTGACCAATCAGAGCAGAGTAGACCAATCACAACAGACTGGGCCATCTGACCAATCAGAGCAGAGTAGACCAATCACAACAGACTGGGCCATCTGACCAATCAGAGCAGAGCAGACCAATCACAACAGACTGGGTCTTCTGACCAATCAGAGCAGAGTAGACCAATCACAACAGACTGGGCCATCTGACCAATCAGAGCAGAGTAGACCAATCACAACAGACTGGGCCATCTGACCAATCAGAGCAGAGTAGACCAATCACAACAGACTGGGCCATCTGACCAATCAGAGCAGAGTAGACCAATCACAACAGACTGGGCCATCTGACCAATCAGAGCAGAGTAGACCAATCACAGAAGACTGGGCCATCTGACCAATCAGAGCAGAGCAGACCAATCACAACAGACTGGGTCTTCTGACCAATCAGAGCAGAGTAGACCAATCACAACAGACTGGGCCATCTGACCAATCAGAGCAGAGCAGACCAATCACAGAAGACTGGGTCTTCTGACCAATCAGAGCAGAGTAGACCAATCACAACAGACTGGGTCTTCTGACCAATCAGAGCAGAGTAGGCCAATCACAACAGACTGGGCCATCTGACCAATCAGAGCAGAGTAGACCAATCACAACAGACTGGGTCATCTGACCAATCAGAGCAGAGTAGATCAATCACAACAGACTGGGCTCTCTGACCAATCAGAGCAGAGCAGACCAATCACAGAAGACTGGGTCTTCTGACCAATCAGAGCAGAGTAGACCAATCACAACAGACTGGGCCATCTGACCAATCAGAGCAGAGTAGACCAATCACAACAGACTGGGCCATCTGACCAATCAGAGCAGAGTAGACCCATCACAACAGACTGGGCTATCTGACCAATCAGAGCAGAGTAGACCAATCACAACAGACTGGGCCATCTGACCAATCAGAGCAGAGTAGACCAATCACAACAGACTGGGCCATCTGACCAATCAGAGCAGAGTAGACCCATCACAACAGACTGGACCATCTGACCAATCAGAGCAGAGTAGACCAATCACAGCAGACTGGGCTCTCTGACCAATCAGAGCAGAGCAGACCAATCACAGAAGACTGGGTCTTCTGACCAATCAGAGCAGAGTAGACCAATCACAACAGACTGGGCCATCTGACCAATCAGAGCAGAGTAGACCAATCACAACAGACTGGGCCATCTGACCAATCAGAGCAGAGTAGACCAATCACAACAGACTGGGCCATCTGACCAATCAGAGCAGAGTAGACTTATACATTTCTGGGAAATGAACCTATGCAACAATCATGAGTGGTGTTTCATAGGTGTTTGTGTGTGTTTCCAGGCTCACTGCTCTTCAAGCCCTGATCCAGAGCCTCCTGCAGGCTGAGGACATCATTAAAGTCCACGAAGCTCGTCTTACAGAAAAAGAGACTTCTTCTCTTGATCTGAATGAAGTGGACAGATACCGCATGACTCTGAAGGTGAACTTAATATTTGAGTTTATATATCTAAACTCTTAATAAGACACCTTGTCTTTTTCTAATCAGTGTGTGTATGAGACCCGTTCCATGATTTAGAGTCATTTTGACCCTAAACACATTTGGAGTGTTATGCAATCTACCTATAGAATTATTGTTTCCAAAATAGAATTTAAATAGTGGCTGTCATCATAACCTGAATCCAGATCCGGATGTTCGCTAACAGTAAACTTCGGCGTGAGTATATCAGGGCCTTAGCAAGGCACAGGTGATAGAAATCAATCGCTATGGTAACCAACAAGGGTAACTATAGAAACAAAGTAAAACAGGAACTAATATAGGAGGAGAAAATACACATCAATGTAAAAGTCCTAGAACACAGAACACACGAAACACAGGGAATATCTCATTGAATATCTTAACTTTTGGGATTTAAGACAAGTTGGAGTTCATCCTAACTTTAAGAGGTTATTTATAATGCATTTGTCTCCACAAATGGCTCCTTGTGACTCCAAATGATAGAGTATGTCACATGATATGTCTCATTTAATGTGATGTCTTGTGCCATGCAGAGCATGAAAGCAGATCTGGAGAAGAAGAAGGGTGTTTTGAAGACTATGGAGTCGGAGCTGTCCAAGGCTGTTCACTGGAACGGTCAAATCGACAAATCGTTCCATCAGTGTGACGTGGACCTGTCCAGATACTCAGAGCAAGTGGGAACGATGACTGACCGCTGGCGCAGGATTGTGGCTCAGATTGACAGCAGGTGTGGAGAGATGTGCTGCTTCTTCTTCTTCTTCTTCTTCTTGAATATCAACATGCACGACTGTTGTAGAAAGCATCACAGCATAATTATAGTTGTAATCCATTCCTTGCTTGTTTGTCAGGGTCTGGGACCTGGATAAACAGGAGAAACAGCTGAATCACTACAAGCAATCAAGCTCCATAATCAACAAATGGATTCAGGAAACAAGTCAGCGGCAAGATGCCTTCCAGATTACTAAATTCAGCAGCTTGGAAAATTTAATTAAACACCTGGAACAGCAAAAAGTCAGTCCAATACACTCGCTGATGTTTGTTTTTGTAATTTTTTTTTAGTCAAAAAATTTGTGTTTTGTCAGTTTTTTTAAATTAATTTTTATTTCAGTTTTTAGTTATTTTAGTGAATCAAGTTAAAATAAATGAAAATGAGAAATAAATGTTTGAAAGTCTGAAGTAAAATACACACGTTTCAGTTAATTATGTAACCCTGACTTGGATAAAATATGTCCTATTGAGAAAACTATTTTGTCAATGAACAGGCGCTGTATTCTGAGATAAAAGGAAAGAAAGAAAAAGTGGATGATGTGGTCAAAGACTCAGACATATGTGCTGCCTCCATAAAGGTGAGACTCGTATTTGCTGTATTGCTTATTACAAGTACATGTAGAAACGTTGCAGAAGGCTGAGGTCCCGGATCTCTGTTTTGACAGGACTATGAGCTCCAGCTGGCGTCCTACAGCGCAGGATTGGAGACGCTGCTCAACATTCCCATCAAGAAGACTATGCTTCAGTCTCCAACCACTGAACTCAGGCAGGAGGTAACCAAACCTTTCACATGCTGCACTCAACATCGTCAACTATAGGGACAGTTCACAATTCTGTCATCATTTACTCACCCTCAAGGTGTGCCAACCCTGTATGAGTTTCTTTCTTCTCCTGAACACAAAAGAAGATACTGAAAAATATGGGTAACCAAACAGTTACTAAGGAAATCAATGGGTCCGGTCAACTGTTTGGTTACTGACATTCTTCAAAATATCATCTTTTGTGTTCAGCAGAAGAAAGAAATTCTTTGGTTTGGAACAACTTTAGGGTGAGTAAATGATCTCTTTAACATCACAGTTCCCCTGATTAACTTTATTTTGAGTGTATCCGTATTCAACATACCTTCACTGACTTATAACTGTTTCCCTAAAGGCCACGGAGCTGCAGTCACACTACATAGAGCTCTTGACACGTTCAAGTGACTACTGCAAATACCTTGGGGAAATGCAGAATAACATGGAGGACTTAATGGTAAGCGTTGTGTCTCAGACAAGATGTGTTGTGAATATATCTTTCCAAATAATATAATATACGAGACAGTTAATGAGATGCCAGTGCCAAATTACATAGAAATGAATTGATTTGGTTGGCTTTTGTAAGCAGGGGTATTAACGTTAACTAAAACTAATACTATTAAAAGTATTTGTTGAAAAAATAAACGAAAATTAGAAATGTTGCCTTTGCAATAAACTGAAAAAGGTTGAACTGAAATGAAAATAAATTAAGCCTAAATAGCTATACTACTACTACTAATAATAATAATATGGCAAAAGCACATTAACATGAAAACTAAATAAGCTTTTTCAAAATATTAATACAACTATAAAAATACTAAAATTTGTAAGAGGTTAACATTTAAAATTTAAGTAAAAATAGTATACGTAGGAAGAAAATACTCAGCAATGGTGTTGACTTATTAATTTGAACATGTTTTGTCTTAAAGCATATTTAAAACACCACATATAAACTTGATTTTCACCACAGCTAGATTTTCCCAGTGCTAGATTGAAGGACACTTGTTCAGGACACTACAGATCAGTCGCTACAAATGAGTCAAGTTAGCAGGTATAGGGTCAAGGCTGCATATTAGTAGTGCTGATGCCAAGTGTAGTACAAACAGGAAACAAGAAGGAAGTGCAATGCTCAAATGCTTTCTTAGAAGTGAGAAATAATTGGCAGGGTTATATTGCATTCACTTAGTATTTTATTTATTTTGGTTTACTACCTCTACTTAATATGGAATTTTCTTTTTAAACAGAGATGTAAGACTGAAATTGGGATTATGGAGGAGAATCTGAGACGTCACAAGGAGAACCTTGACGATCAAACCCGGAAGAACAAGTCACTGGAGGATAGTATGACTCACTATCGGCTGGAGCTGACCCAGTCCAAAGAGAAGCTTATATCTCTGGAGGAGGGGAAGAGAACCCAGGCTAGGCAGTGCAGTGCTACTCAGGAAAGCCTGGACAGCACCCAGAATCAGCTGAAGGGCTTACAAGACGAGATGTCCCGCCTCACGTTTCTCATTGAGGAGGAGAAGCGCAAGCGGAGGCTGGCTGAGGAGCGCTACACCACCCAGCAGGACGAGTACGAGCTTGCTATCCGCAAGAGACAGAAGGAACTGGACGAGCTCAGCATGTCCAAAAGCCAGTTTGAAAGGGCCATCAAAGACAAAGAGCGGGAGATTGAGCGGCTAAGATTACAGCTGGATGATGAGGCCTCCCGGCGGAGTGCAGCAGAAGCTGAGACCTCAAAGGTAAGATCGCAGTTGAGCCAGGACATTAATAGCCTAAAGCAAACTTTTGAATCTGAGATCCACATCACCAAGACCAGTGTGCTCAAGACAACACAGCAGAAGGATGAGGAATCTGCAACTCTGAGGCTTCAGATGGAGAGGTTAGCCTCTGAGAAAAGAGACCTGGAAGATGAACTTAGAAAGGTGAAGCTTTCTTTCTCCCACGTAGAAGCGGCACGGAGGAAAGCAGAAGAGGACGCACTTCAGCAGAGGTCTTCGGTGAGCGAGGAAAGCAGGAGCAAGAGGGAACTGGAGACAAAGATCCAGCTCGTAACGCATCAAAGGGAAGAGATTGAAACAAGACACCGGGTGGAACTGGCGGACGCCAACAGAGTTGCTCAGGAAAGGGCCCGTGAGATTACCTTGCTGACCCAGAATCTACAAGACGAGACCCGACGGAGGAAAGCCATGGAGGTCGAGAATCATAGCATCAGACAGTCTCAGGCTGAGATACTCGCTAAACAAACTTCAACCACTGAGGTCATTAACAAGTTAAAGATCTCTGAGCAAGAGTTCCTGGTGGTAAAGAGAGAGATGGAGATGCAAAAAAATGAAAAGAGCAAGTTGGAACAGAATGCCACCAGACTGCAGAGTCGCATCGGTGAACTGCAGTCCAAGGTGAACGAGTTGCAGGCTGAACTGGAGAAGGAGAAGAGGAATAATCAGGATGACCTCACGAAGAGGAAAAGGGTGGAAACGGAGCTAGAGAGGGTGAACCAGATGTGCCGGGAATACACCACTACCATCACCACTCTACAGGTCCATAAGGAGCAGGAAAGTGCTTCTGGACGCAAGTATGAGCTGGAGCTTCGCAGCTCTAAAGAGGAGTTGGAGAGGATCCGGAAGGAGTACAAAATCAACTTAGAGAGTCTGACCAAAGTGAATGCAGAATTGAAACCTTTGCAACAGCAGCTTCTACGGGAACAAGCCCTTGTCCGTGAGGCCAATCAACGAAACGATTCCCTCTACAAGACCATAGAGGAGAAGAGTCGAGCGCTAAATGAGAGCACCAACGAGATTGAGAAGTTGCAGAGCCTCACTCAGAATCTTACCAAGGAGCGTCTGCGGCTTGAGGAGGAGCTGAGGAGTGCGCGACTGGAGCGAGACGATGTGAAGAGAAGCTTGAGCACCATCGACATTGAAAGTGCTTCCCGATTGTCTGCCATTCAGTTCCAGCTGCAAACCAGCAATAACAGAGCGCTGGAACTGCAGGAACTAATCAATGAACTGACTAAAGAGAGGGAAAGTTTAAGGGTGGAAATTGCCCGAATCCAAAAGCAATTCACGGAGGTATTTTTTTATGAGCGACACAACTGATTTTTTTTTTTCTAAATCAGTTGAATCAAAAATACATCACCATTTTAAGTTATATCACAATGGCTTTGCTGGGTAACGCTTTGCTGCATAATCTTTGAATGACCTTTAAAGGACATTTTCTGCATAACACTGCATGGTTGCAATCTTTTTTCATATTTTCTCTGGTCTCCTAATTTTTGTTGTTTTATTCTAACCATTTTTGAATCATAAATTTTTTAATTGTGTGATACATAAATATTTCCTTTGTTAAATCCTCTAAATGAATCATAATCAGAAATATTTCTCTTTCTGTTTCCAGACTTCCATGGTCATCCAGCGATCTGATGCCAACTACAAAGAGATTGTGCAAGAGAGAGATAGTCTTTTAATCAAACTGAAGCTTTCGCAACAGGACAAAGACAAGCAGCAGCGATATGAGGAGGAGCTCAGGCGCATCAAACTCTCCTTGGAATCTGAGACGAAGCAGAAGCAGCGTCTCCAGGAGGAAATTGATCGACTTACCAAGGATTTCAAGTACTGGAAAAGCCAATACGAGTTAAAAGAGGGGCAGATCAGACAGAGTGAGGTAGATAAAGACAAAGTTGAGAGAGACAGGGCCTCCTTTCTGAGCGAGATCCAAAGATTGACCGCTGAGCTGAGGAGTGTGGAAGACCGCTACAAGAATCGTCTTCAGACCTCGGACAAGGAAATCTTGGAGCTCTCCCGAAGGAAGGAGACTTTGGAAATTGAACTGAGGAGGTTGCAACAGCGTCCGGTCGCAACCTGTACCTGTAAGAATACGCAGACGGTTGAGGTTTCCAAGCCTGCCTGTGAGGGTAGCGTCCAGAAATTCACAGTGAAAGGTCTGCGTGGAGAGGTCTCGCTCACGGAGCTAGTGGATTCCGACTTGCTTGATCAAACAGATTTGGATAAAATAAACCAAGGAAAACTAACAGGCGAAGATATCGAGTACAGACTCAGATCGTACCTGGGTGGCTCTGCGTGCATCGCTGGTATCTTCGATGAGGCCAAGAATAGGGTCATTCCCTTTTACCAGGCTATGAAAGAAGGTCTGATTCGACGGGGAACCACACTGGAGCTCCTGGAGGCCCAGGCTGCCTCTGGTTTCATAATCGATCCGGTCAACAATGTGTGCATGACGGTGGAAGAGGCGTGGAGGAGAGCTCTTGTGGGAAAGGAGTTTAAAGACAAGCTACTCTCTGCTGAGAAGGCCGTGACCGGATACAAAGATCCTGCCACAGGAAACATAATCTCACTGTTTCAAGCTATTGAGAAGGAGGTCATAGAGAAAGGTCACGGAATTAGACTGCTGGAAGCTCAGATTGCCAGTGGCGGCATCATAGATCCCAAAGGGAGCCATCGAATTGATGTGGAAGTGGCGTACAGGAAAGGCTACTTTGGCCGTGAAATGAATGAGATTTTGTCGTATGATGGCGACGACACCAAAGGTTTCTTTGACCCCAACACCCATGAAAACCTCACGTATCTGGATTTGAAAAAGCGGTGCATCACAGATCCTAAGACGGGGCTCATCCTTTTGCCTTTGAAGGACAAGCAGAAGCCGAAGCAGGTGACCTCTCAAAAGAACACACTTCGCAAGAGGAGAGTGGTGATCGTAGACCCCGACACCGGCAAAGAGATGACCGTCCGAGAAGCGTTCCACCGAGAGTTGATCGACTACGACACTTTTCTGGAGCTGTCCGAACAAGAGTGCGAGTGGGAGGAGATCACCATCGAAACTTCTGACGGAAGCAGACGTTTGCTTGTTGATCGCAAAACTGGAAACCAGTATGACATTCAAGAGTCCCTAGAGAGGGGGATTATAGATAGACAAACCTTGGAGAAGTACCGTGCCGGGACTGTGACACTCACTGAGTTTGCAGCGCTGATCACAAGTAAAAGCAATAGTTCGGAGCTCGCCATCTGCTCCAGCAGTCCTGAAGATATTGCTACTTGCAGTAGTCCCACGCCATCATCTCCAACCGTCCGCAAACGCTTTGCCAGTGTATCCATTACACTCTCCCCTCCATCTGATATATTTGATGACCACAGTCCCGTGGGGGCCATTTTTGACTCCGAGACACTAGAGAAGATAACCATCTCCGAGGCACAGCGGCGGGGAATACTGGACAACCTCACCGCTCAGCGCCTCCTGGAAGCCCAGGTTTGCACTGGAGGAATTATCAATCCTTCCACTGGCCAGAGACTCTCTCTGAATGATGCTGTAAAACAAAGCATTATTGATGAAGACATGGCTGTCAAGCTAAAGCCAGCACAGAAGGCGTATGCAGGGTTTGAGGATGTGAAGACCAAGAGGAGACTTTCTGCCGCTGAGGCCATGAAGGAGAAGTGGTTGCCTTACGAGGCAGGGCAGAGGTTTCTGGAGTTCCAGTACCTGACCGGTGGACTTATAGAGCCAGTAAACGGCCACCGCTTGAGCATCGAGGAGTCTATCCGAAGAGCATGGCTTGACGGCAGAGGGGCACAGAAGCTGCAGGACACGAGGAACTACATTAAGAACCTCACCTGTCCTAAAACCAAACTTAAGATCTCATACAAAGAGGCCATGGATAACTGCATGGTGGAGGAGACCAATGGCATGAAGATGCTCCAGGCTACCTCCATGTCAACTAAAGGCATAAGCAGCCCGTACAACGTGTCGTCAGGACCGGGCTCTCGCACCGGATCTCGCACCGGCTCGAGAAGTGGATCACGTAGAGGCAGTGTTGACTACACCTCCTCTGTTTCTTACAGCTACACCTCATCTTAGCTATACGGCTAGTCGTGATGCCTATGCTTAGAGTGTACAATTTAAATTTAAGTAGGATTTTATAATCAGGAGGATTTCAGTATGGGTTTGGGATACAGAATGTAGATTGACTTGTTTTAAACACATCTTATTTTACTTACTAGCACTAGCACTGATACATTTTCTTGGGTGTTTAAGATGTCTTTTAGATTATTAATGTAATGGTGTTTTTCATTATTTACACAAGGGGATTTATAGATCTGTCATGACGTAATGTTTTCATCTTCTTTATTTGGTTTATTCCGATTGGTTTCAAATATTTTCCTTTTTGCATGTTTTATTTACATTTTACATTTACACTTATTCATTTAGCAGACACTTCTATCCAAGAAATGTAACAAGCATTGCCGCACAAAGCCGATTACAAAGTTAGAAACATGTACTCTTTTATCTGAATCGTCTGCTGACGTGGCATCTACTAATTTCAAAGTAGAAATCATATATTTTGCCTATAATGAATTAATATTTGATCTGATTGTGTTTATATGGAGCAATTTAAACAATAAAAACTATTGAAATATAAACTACCATTCTCTCTCTTACTTATTATAAGTCCAAATTATTTCTATAGCATCACATTTGAAATTTCCTTTTACTCTTCACACCTTTCTTTGCAACTAAATCCTATGAGAGTCAGGGTTGTAATTTGTGCTAGTATGTGATTAACTACTGACTAAAATTACATGAAATATAATGTTTTTCGTAACGGGTTATAGTGTAAGATGCTCCTTTAGAAACGCAGTACGTTTGAGGTCTGATTGGTTAGTATTATGACAGCATGCCTCATGTGTAAATGCATTACTACAACATGAGATGCTTAACTGTCACCTGCCCGTATACGGGCAACCTAAATTTACTTCACTATATTACTATTAAATCCTAATCTAGTCATGACAAACTATATATCGTTGGAAAGGTCTAAGACTCCTAAATAGATATTTTAGTGCTGTTTTTTTCTTACAAATTATGAATGAACAGTAATATATGAATTTATGACAAGAGTGCGCCTCAAAAAATCGACGTCATTACAGGAGGTTCTGACCTTTGTCACAAAAAGTTGACACACACACTTTTAATAATTGAAACTTTGGTTTTTAGTGCTAAAAGTTCATAATAAAACATAATCTAGTATTTGTCAATAAAAAAAGATAAAATTATATTTTAAAAAGTAAAGTAAGAAGTCCTCTAAAAAGTATAATATATATTATATATATATATATAATTTTTTTATTATTATTATTATATCACATATTTTAGTAGGTATCATAAATTAGGTATCATTTGAAAGGTTACGAACTCAGAATTCATCCTGTGAAAACCGTTTTGAAATTGGACGTTGCGTTACCATAGAAACTGTATTTTTTATTAGGCCCCTCCCCTTTTGGGCATCATCTTTCATAATTTATTATCAAAACCTTTTCTAATCTTGACAAAACACATATTGTCAGAAAGGTCTGAGTCTCAAGGTTCCATATTTAGTGACAGAAGTGATATTTGGATAGAAATGTATTAATTTGTTATGGCAGAATGCATACAATTAAATTCAATGGAATTCAATGGCACCCGGTGGCTATTTTTGGTATAACGCCTAAACAAATTCTCATGGGAACTTCAATTTTTGTGATATCAACTTTAAATTTGGAACACAACTTGGTTAGATATATAGCTTTCATTTTATAGTAATTTTATAGTAAAAAAAATATTTTGTAAAATATTTATTTTATATTAAAAAAAATATTAATAAAGTATATTTGATTTACTGTAAATTATAACTTCCATAACTTTTTCATACTTTAATTTTTTGAAGTGCTTTCACTTTAGTAATAATCTGCTGATTGTTTTCTTTAAAACAAGACCAAACTTAGGTCTATATTCCAAAGCATTCTTGAATTACAACCATTTAAGTTTGTATAGTGCATTTTAATGTAAATTATCAAATCCTAATCCTGCCCAAACCCTATAGTACATGTAGTTCATTAATATTACTGAGTACTTAAATATATAATTACACTGTAACAATGATAAAATAAAGTGTAACCCTTTATTTTATAGTGTCCTTGTTACACGTTACATGTATAGTTACAGTAATTACGATATATTGTGCATAATTACAGGCAACTCTCCCCTAATCCTAACCCAAAAGTAAGTACAAGTAGTTAATTATTATTACTCAGTACTTAAATGTATAATTTCACTGTAATATGGACACCTTAAAATAAAGTGTAACCAAAAGTACTTCAGATGCAGATTCTGTGCCACTTTTTGCAGATGTTGCTGATACTGGTTTCATTTGATGGTGACATCCCAATAGTTTCTTATTATTCTAATTACAGTTATAGATTAAATGTAGGAATTTGACATAAAAGATGATGCTTACATTTGATGAGGTCAGAAAAAGGCTTTATAAAGGTTAAAATACACATGGAAATCAAATTGGGAGGCAAATATTGACCTTTAAAGGAAAAATTGTTTCCTGTCGCTGCAATGAACGGACCACCACAGGGAATATGAAGAATATTAAAAAAATATTCATGATAGGCCTAAACCAGCCAAGATACCAGCACAAAAACGTGTGTTTATTCTTAGATACATAATATAATCTGTTTGTATCAATACAACATACTGATGTTTGTCTTGTTTTAGCAGACACAGTTAATTAATGAGTAATGTTTTGGACTTGTTGCATGTATCTAGAAAACATGCATGTGTGGGGAATTAAATGCAACCTCAAATGTTTTAATTGGTCATGACGAAAATCCTACGTTTACTCCAAAGCGAAGTGTATTCCACTAAAGCACCATAGAGTCTTGTTCAAGCACTGAATGGTCACAATAGCAATGATTATTTCATTTGTGTGCATCCATGAAGAGATAGTTAATAATATTAATCTCTGTTCTGTTAGACCCGTCTCATTTCTGCGCAAAGTTCCAGTTAAAACTTTAAATCAGGGGTTCTCAAAGTGGGGTCCGCGAAATAATTTGAAAACGTATTTTAAACGAGTCGCGTATTTAAATCATCTGAAACTGCGACTTATATTCCAAAGTTATAGTGCATTTAATGTCAAATAAGCAAAACGTAGAGTTCAAAAGTGGACACTGTTTTTTATAGACGAGGTTCTCTCACATGATGTGAGGCAAATTAGCTTTCGGTTTTCGAGTTTCGGTTCATTTTTGTGACAAAAGAAAAAGTAATTCGGCTGAATTGAAATGGGCTATATTGTGCAACACCGGTGAGCACCACCTTACCGTCAGTCACACTGGTGTTATTCCTACATTGTGCATGTGAAGGATTTACTGTTTTACGTGGATATTGGGACACTATAGAGGCTAGGCTATAGCCTAAAGCCTTGTTAACATAGTTAAGCATCCAAATTCGGATTTTCGCATGTTCGCATATTCTTGTGAATATGTAAAAATGTGGATTCGTGCCAAAAGAGGAGCCCAACGCCAGTTTCAGTTTCACTTTAAATTAACTAGTTTAGGCTATAAAATAAATGTTTTTTTGTAATACCTCTATAACTTATGTATATTTCAGGCTATATAGCTTACATTTTTCATTCTTGTTTTTTTTTTTCTGAATAGGATTGATTACCGTTTGATTCTAAGGATTGTTGTGGAGTGAGGGGAACTATATAAACATTTATTTTTATTTACCGGTATTTTACATTATTTTTGAATGTTATAAAATGCGACCGATCCACAGATGTTTGTTTCTGTCAACAACTTAAGTTTGAGCTGTGCTGTGTTGTATTTTTAATTGTCCATATTTACAGATGGGGTTGTGCCAATAAAATATTGTGCTTATTACTCATTATTACTCCACCACATTAACTGCGGGTTTAATAGGAAGGAGGTCCCTGGAAACATTTCTAACCTATTATTGATTTAAAATCCGTGCCTGTCCTCTACGCCTCTGGGAACAACCTGTTTTTGCACATTTCACCATGACTTTGCATCCTTTAATTTCGTTAAATCATAATAGGCCTACATGCCCTCCACATATACCAGAATATCTTCATGTTGTAAATAACACTGAATAGTTGGTCATATTTGGGTTCAGAAAACTGTACACCTAGTATTTATGCATTCAACTGTAAATATACTGTAGCGTTTCGCTACTAAGAAGTAAACAGACGGATTCTTCCTCCTTCTAAGGCTTTATTCAAGAACTGCAGGATTACTGTTATGGCCGTAACCCACGCCGTACAACATGAAAGGAGAGATATAACGTGCTGTCTCTGCTCTGCTGTTAAACTCTGTCTGACTCCCCGCTACCAGCTCTCACTCGCTCTAGTCACTCGACCCCGCTAAACCCCGCCCCTTAAAGAACCAGGGACTAACAGATAGAACCACTTATGAGTCTAACACTGTCGAACAACATAATACTAACTAGTGTCTTCTATTTATACTGACATTACACTGCCCCCCCTTTAATAAGAAGAACCCTCGTCCACGAGGGGGCAAACAAAGTCTTTAAGGTGCCCAGGCCGACGTCTCTGCCTCCTTGGCCGCATAGCAGGTTGAATGTCTGAGCTTGCAAGGGAATGAGGGGTTGGGGCATGGGGATCAGCTGAAAGTCCCCGGAAAGTGGCTGCATGTGGGCTGTTTAGGGCAGGGGATTCAGGAGCCACTGGGGTGTGGGGCCCGGGCCTGGGGTCAATGTTGTTTTGAGAGGCAGGGGGGGTGGTCTTTCTCTTTTCAAAAGAGACGGCCAAGTTACCTCTGTACGGGGCCAGCCTGTCTCTATGCAAGGCTACCTTCCTGCCTCTAGGCGGCATCTGCACCCTATACACTACCTCTCCCACCTTCTCTAGAACCAAGCAGGGGCCCACCCAGTGGCAGTCAAGCTTCGGGGAGCGTCCTCTTTTCCTCCTCGGGCTGTACACCCAAACTGACTCATCAGCCTGGAAGTCTCTTCCCTTGCTCCTAACATCATAGTTCCTTTTCTGCCTCATGCCAGCCTTTTCCAATTGATCCCTGGCAAACACATGGGCTGTCTCCATTCGATCCTGCAACCTCCTTGCATACTCTGGTCCGGCAGGTATAGCCGGCATGTCCGGGGGCTTCCCG